TTATTATTCTTTAGATCAACTAAGTAAGAGAAGAACTGAATTTGGAATTGTATTTTTATATAAACTATTGAATAATTTTATTCATTGCCCAGAATTTTTATTTTTATATAAATATAAAGCAACACCATTTATTTTATATAAAGACCCAAAAGACCACTTCTAGTAAATTTATGCCTTTAAGTATAATCTTTTCTGAGGCAAGCGATTTTAATTTAGATTTTTTTTATTGTTTCCTGACTATCTTTAAAAGAAAATTAAAAGTAAACTTATAAATAAGTAGTTTATTTGAAATTATAGTTTGTAATTGGTTACCCTTACAATTACAATGGGATTGAGATGTTCCCCAAGTGAAAATGATTATTTTTTATTTTTGGTTCTTCCACTGTTAGTCTAGAATGGGGTTTTTGGGAAGCCAACATGTCTAGTAATAACATAACATAAGTTTTTTTTAACATCCCTTTGTATATTTGAAATAAGTTATTGTATCTTGTGACACCTTAATATTTTAAAAAAATATAATTGTACATACATACCATATTTATAAAAAAAATCTACTTACTGAGATATTACACTTCACGGTGGATAGGTTTTTAAATGGAAAATTAATGAACTTAAACTTTTGAATTATAAAACAGCAACACTCTCATCTGCATATAAATTCTAACTGAACTTCAGGAATCACATGCATCTATAATGTAAACAGAGGTTTTTGCTTAGTTAAAATGATTTGCATAAAATTTATAGCAAAAACAGATTCACGGAGGGTAGAATCAATTTTTGTAACACCTACATAAATGGTTATAAAAATTATTTCTTTTAATTTTTAATAATATTTTATATTTGATTCTATTGCTTTGGATGTGTTTAATTCACTTAGTGAACTGATATTTTTAGTATGTTTTACTACCTCAGATATTTGAAAACATATAGTTTAACCTAGAAAGAGTATCAGTCACGGAGGATAGGTTTTAGACTTTTAAAACATTGTAAAAAATAATTAAGCTGTAATATCTACTTAATTATGAAAGATCAAAACACAATAAAAGTGTAGGTCAAACTCATTTAGTTTTATTAAATATCACGGGGTAACACGATTTCGTGAGATTCACCCTTATACACCAATAAGGTTGAAAGGCCTTAAAAATGGTATCACTTGAACACTCTCTTTTATTTATAAATTGTAAGGGGAACCATCACTTCCGCTTAGGGGTTGATTTGGGATTAAAAATATAAAAATAAATTGTCCCCACAAAATTAAAAATAGTTGTGTGCAAACGTTTTTTATTTTTTTACGTAACACCCGATAAAACCAAGATAGAAACTTTCGATTGGCTCACTTTGTACACATACATGTATGAATATGTTACTTCCAACAGGCTCGAATAAACAGCCATGTGGGATTATCATCCGTAGCGCTAACCACTACACCACCAAGATATAGGATCAATGCTTGGCAACGCTGTACATAAACAGTAAACCTTTTTAAATAAATATTGACCCACTTAACCTAGTTTTATTTTTAGATTTTTTTCGACATTTTCAATGTTTTAGTTGTTTTTCTTTTGTGGTGGCACACCTGATCAACGCCATAAAACTTGCAGAACAGCGTGAAACATCCTTCTTTCGCAGTCGACACTTTTCTCGACAACGTTTCGGTGAATTTAAGGCTCGACGCAGATAAAATAATAAATTTAATAAAATTACCTGCTTTGTTTTGTTTTTTATTGCGCGCAGCGGCAGCCACCGCAAGACAGATAAAAAAGGGTTTTGTGCATAGGCCCGGAATTTATATTTATTTTTTCAACGGTTCAAAGATAACATGACAAAATATTCTGCTTATTCAGGGACATTAATTTGCGGTCATTTTAATGTATTATAGCGCATTAAATCCACATTAAATATCCAATAGTGTTTTATACGTTTTTTATGGCGGGACTGAATTAACTGTAGGTACATTTATTAATTATAATTATAAATATTTTGAAAATTAAAAAAACTAAAACTAAAACTAAAACTAAAACTAAAACTAAAACTAAAACTAAAACTAAAACTAAAACTAAAACTAAAACTAAAACTAAAACTAAAACTAAAACTAAAACTAAAACTAAAACTAAAACTAAAACTAAAACTAAAACTAAAACTAAAACTAAAACTAAAACTAAAACTAAAACTAAAACTAAAACTAAAACTAAAACTAAAACTAAAACTAAAACTAAAACTAAAACTAAAACTAAAACTAAAACTAAAACTAAAACTAAAACTAAAACTAAAACTAAAAGTAAAACTAAAACTAAAACTAAAACTACAACTACAACTACAACTACAACTACAACTACAACTACAACTACAACTACAATTACAACTACAACAAAAACTACAACAAAACTAAAACTAAAAATAAAATAAAGTTGCAATTTTGGAGCGTTTAGCGTATAGTTAATGCAATGCCATAAAATCTTTGAGATGACATGTCAACTGATATTTTTAACACCTGCTATTTATTAACATCTTTTTGACAGGTGTCAAAAATGACGTAACAGGTTCTGGCAGTTATAAGATGCAAGAAAAAATATTTTAAATACATTAAATGTGAGGCCAGTTTTTAATTATCCAATTTTGTTTCAATTGGAGCAGTTTTTAATTACCCGAAACATTTATTTAAACGTGAAGTTTTGAATTACCCGGATTTAAAATGTTAAATTATTTATTTATTAACCAGAAAAATATTATGTAATATAATGCTGGAGGCAACGTGGTCTTTACAATAAATAACCCGTAGAAACGAATTGCCTGCATGCATGCATCCAAGCAGTGTTGCCAGTTATTCTAAAGTCAAATCGCCAACTTTGAAAAGCGCCAAAAAATGCAATCAGTTGCAAAATTAAAATGCCGAAAATCAATTTTCTGTGACGGTAAATTTTCAAAATCCATTAAAAATACGAAAATGTTTTACCATTTTAATATTTGGTTAGGTTTTTATGCAACATTTGATGCAATTTTTTGATTATACAGTTCGGCTACCATTAAAAAGGTGTACTTGTCAAACTTCGATAAAATAAACCGTTTCCGAGATATTCGAGATTACAATAATTGTTATATCGCATTATTTATAAGGATTAAAAGGTATATGATAACTAGGGATGGGATATTTAGGTACTAAAAACTGAAAAATAGGTAACTAAAAAGGTACCAAAAAAAAGCATTTTAGGTTAAAAAAACAGCATTTTAGGTAAAAAAAAACATTAAAAGTTTAAGTTTCGTTTATAATTTTGTTTAGCCGCATACCCAAACACATTCCCACAATAAACTATTTCTATGCAATAAAATGTGACTGAGTGATACTCACTACACAGAAGTTCTATGACAGAACATAAGCTCACTAGTAGTGAGTCACTACAAAGAAGGTAACTGTAAAGAAAGTTACTGTTACAGTCTGTAACCATAATAAAAAATTCTATACCGTTGAGTTGGCGCAAATTTTAAAAAGAACAAAAAAAATAGGTAACAAATATATGAAAATAAACTGACAAATTAAAAAATATGTTACAAAAGTATAAAAAGGTAGTTTAAAGCAAAAACCTCCAAAAAAGGTAAAAAAGTTGAAAAAAAGTTAAAAAAAATAGGTAACAAAAGTATAAAAAAGGTAGATAAAAGCAAAAACCTCCAAAAAAGGTAAAAAAGGTGAAAACAAGTTAGGTTCATATAAAAGAAAATCTTTTAAAACACATTTTGGCATTATTGGTTTTCAAATAGTTACATCGGTTAAAAAAAGGTAAAATAACTAAAATCCCATCCCTAATGATAACAAATTTTATTTTTTTATTGAAAAAACTTAAAAGGGCATTCCATGAGCCTCAGGACTTTTTGCCCTGACTGTCAAAATAAAAAAAAATTTAGTTTTTTCAATTAAAATTTTTTTCCATATACCTTTCAGTCCTTTAAGTTTGAGAGGTACACCTTTTTGATAGTACCCGAACTGAGTAATAGAAAAATTGCATCAAATGGTATAAAAACCTAACCTAAAAGTTTGTATGGGACAATAAGCTTAAGCAACCCCTGTTTCTACGACACTGTGTTCACTCGAACAATTGTAATTATGTGTAAATATGTGTTTTGGTAGTAAGTGACTGTTCGCAAAATATCACCTTTCCAAGTCCACCATAGTAGAAGTTATATTAAAAAACTTATATGATAAGTAACACTTTATCACCCTGTATCTTTTAAACCTATGTAATTAGAAAAAATATTTATTTAGATTTTCGTCTTATTTTGACTTGCTTAATCTGCTCCTAAATTTATGCCACTAAGTTTAGGGACACCTTGTATATAGAATGGTTTTATATTATATGTATAGTTATATATGGTATTAGACTGAAAATAAGGTTTTTAAGGTGCTAATTATTTCATAAAATGGGCGATCACATGTCCTTAGAGCCTGCCCGTACATTTTATTAAAATTTTTTTAGACCTATTACAAAGTTGTAATAAAACCACAAAAATGCGGTACATATTAGCGTGAACTTTTATTTATATTTCATTTCATATTTAAATAACTCGTTTAAAATGCATCATTGGCAATTTTAGCCTATAGATAAAAGTTTCTATTAATGGAATTTCGTTATCTTTAATTTATTTCATTTCAAAATTAAATACACCTTTTGCTAAATTGAATCAGATTGCAAACGTTTTATTATTGCTTATTTCTTTTATAAATTGGATATCGACACTTTTGACAGTATAATTAATATTTTAATTAAATTTGGCTTCAAGTCTTTAATGTTAATATCGCCAGTTTTAAAATACTTACAAGTGGGTGTTTTGATCTATAAAGTTCACAAGAAATAAAAAATATATCTTAATGAAATCCGCACCTTAACCGTTGATTGAAAAGATGCTCTACTTCCCAATACCTCAACTTTCCAACGCGTCCTAATATTTTTGTACACAATTCAAAAAGTTACATTTTGTTATTTTTTCTAAACCATTGTTTTTCTTTTCCAGGACTTTACTCTGGACATATAAACTTTGCCCATGAAACAATCCCCCAAAAAGTGACTCCAAACGGTGAACATTTATCACACAATTTGACACATTATCACGATGATGGAGCAGTGCATTTTAATGTTACGATAGACCAAAGGTCTCATATGCTAGTTCTGGAACCAGCCCTGCATTTTATAGCACCAGGATTAATCATTGAAAGAAGAAAACTTCATCTGCATATGAGGTATAAACCCAAAAAAGAATCTCATGCTTGCCAGTATCAGGGTTTTGTACATGGACATCATGAATCAAGAGTGGCTGTGGCTGCTTGTAATGGATTGGTAAGTTATTACAAAATACACTGTTCAAAATTTCATGACCATTAACACCATATATTGATACAAACCCAAATGGTGTTAAATAGGTTTCGTTGGTCCGGTGAAAATTCAAATACTAAAATGGTGTTAATTTAACTTTTACACTGTATTAAAATAAATGTTACCTGGTGTAAATTGAACTCCTTTTCAGTGTTAAATATTATGTGTTTGTGGTCAAATTAAATCATACTACACAAAAAAAAAGAAAAAAAGGAAACAGGAAGTTCCTTGACGCATTACTAGTATATTACCAGTGGTATTATTCCAGAAAATGAAACCTTCAACTCGCTAGAGATAATGTTTTTATTTTAGTTCGTTCCACCAACTTAAAATACTTCAAGTATTGACAGCTGTTTCCACCTATTTAAGGTTTCTTTAGTATCGAACAACTTGTAGTGTCACACCAAAGCAAAGGACTACCTGAGCTTATATACTCTTCATGTAAGTCAACAGAGGCGAGATTTAAGAACATCACGTGATCCACAAAAAATAAATACTTATGGGTCAACTAAATTAATATAGTTAAATGAACTATTCCTTTTTTTCTGGGTAGGTGCACTTCTCAAATATTTTTAGATAAACACCGTTTTGGTGTTCATTTTCAACCATAATTTATGGTGTTATATTAACACCACTTGGTGTTGGATTTTGACACCATTTTAGGATTACTCTTTACACCACAGATATTTTAAACAGTGTATATTGATTGTTACCATTTTATTGTTATTTGCTACTGTCAAGCACTTTATTGTAAATTTGATTGTAAAAACCTGTCCAGACCTAAGAAAACAAAAGAGTGCACTTAGGTCTTTAAAACCTGGCATTATTTGGCTCATTTAGCTTGTGAAAAAACACTTTGTTTATATTTGACTGATCAAAAATTAGCTTTTACATTTCAGGCGGGAGTGATACATCTGGAAAATGATAGATATTACATTGAGCCGGCGCATCATCAGACTAAAACCATATCTCCTGGGCAGAAGCATTTAATTTACAAGAGATCGACGTCGGCTTCTAATAACCACAAAAAGAAGCGAAGAAAAAAACGTCGAAAAAGAGAACTCTCCAATTGCGGGACAAAGGATCCGAAAAGATTAACTAGGTAAAAATGTCAAAGTTGAGATTTCACTATCTTTGCTTTTCGGCTTTTGCAAAAACTAGATATTTTATAGGTTTAAAAAGAGTAGTCATTCCATGACAAACGATACTGAGGGTGAAAAATATGTTCTTCTCCCATTAAATCTAATGAATTTTGAAAGAAAACATTCCAAATTATAATGTGCAACAAAAAAAAATAGAAGAAACGCGTAATTTTTAAGTTAATTAGTACTCTAATCTGTACTCAACTGAACTGGCTGAATAACTATTGTGCCTCTCACTATTGGAAATACGAAAAAAAATAATAACTGTCAATCTGTCTACCGTTTTGCCATGTTGTGATTATCGTAGTATTGGTGGATTGCGTTAGAGTCCCGAAAAAATTGATAATTATCACGTTATAAGTGTGTTTTCTTGTTACTTTGACACTGTAACACCCGAAACAAAAAATCAGGAAATTGTTTTGTTATTATACCTTACAGATTGATTAGTGTAATAATATTTAGTAAAAGTAAGGTTAGGGTGGTAATGATTTAAAATACTCACTTATATCTGAGCATAAGACTAAATTGATATGTTTTTTCTTGATTAAAAACTGTAACACCCGAAACGTTTCGGGTGTTGCAACTTTTTTCATATGTCGATATATGTGTGTGTATTGCTTGAAGAATGCAATTCGTATTATTTTTAAGGCTCTTTCGACGGCCCACTAGCGCCGCCATCGGAAAAGCAGTCACACCTCTTTTAAAGAGGTGTGACTGCTTTTACGATGGTGTTGTCGAACCTACCGAAATTTCGGTATTTCTACCGAAATGGCAACAGACCTACCACAATACCAAATACTACGATTTTCGTCAATAATTATGTTTCTACCGATTTTTTTTTACCGAATGTTGGCAATAATAACGATTTTCCCATTTTCCGATTTATCAATCGTACCCGAACTGCTTAAGTTATGTTAAAGGAGAATTCATTCTATTTATGATTATTTGTTTGTTACTTATTTTGTAGCACCTAGAGACTAATAAAAAACACCGAATTTGTAGTGTTTAATTTTTGTACTTGTAACACCCGAAACAAAACCGTGGTAACACCTGAAACTTAGTTAAATTTTATAAATAAAATAGTAAAACGTTATTTGTGACAGTGATTATGTGGTAGATGTTAGTAAGTAAATATTATACTTTTTTAGGCCTGTAATTTTTGGGAATGTTTCCTATACCTATGCTAAACTGTACTAATTTTACAATTTAAATAAAACAATTAAAAACGTATTGAATCAGGCACTTTGATTGCTAAAATGTTATTTAAAAATACATAAAAATTTATACTTTGGTTGAACAAATGTATCGCCAGAAACGATGGAATGACCCTCTATAAAAATACAAATCATAAAAACTAAAAAATTACAATACCAGATATCGTGTTAAACGTCATTTTCTTTACACCCTGTGTAGGCACAGTCAGACTGCAATAAAAAATAAGTTTTTTAATATGTGGACACACAGTGTGTCGCACACTGTAAACTGGTTAAAAAAATAATTTGTGTTAGATTTTAAAATGAAATTCAAAATTAAAACTTGCAAACGTTGCAGTGTAGTGTAGCATATTGCAGTTAAATCAAATTACGAACATTAATGACAAACATGGGTTTTATAGTAATTTAATGCATCGTGAATGTGTTGAATTACAAAAACTAACGTGCCAATGACATTCGTATTAAAAAATAATGTAGTTAAAAGTTTATGAGTCACGCCAACATTAAATGAATTGTGATTATAAATATTTTGCTACATCAATTTATTACAATTTTGATGTTTACTTTTTGTGTAGTTTTTAAAAGGTTTGCAACAACAAATAAGCAATCCAATTAAAAATACTTTAAACAGTTTGTTTGTAGGATTAATTCATTAATTATCAAGCTTCTGCCTGATTCCATGAAAAACTTTAATTCGTAAAAAACCGTCAGTGTGTATACAAAGATAAGTCAGACGATTTTTAAGCTATAAAAGGTTCTCTTTAGTAAAAACAAGTATTTTTTAGAATATATGATTCCCTATGCCATTTGCTGATACGGAAATTTTATTAAAAACCTCTAGAGAATTAAAAAAATAATTGTTTTTACAAAGTTCTAAAATAGTCTTTTTCGTGCTAAATCCAAATCCAAATCCTACCTCGTATCACAAGATGATGTGTTTTCTATTTTTGAAGTTTGATTTCAACTTATCAAACACCTTCGTAACAATGTACTATAATAGTAGTGGCATTTATGCTCCACACCTCAAAGTCCCACCACGTGACTACGGACCGCAGTCTTTTGATAATTTGTCATGTAAGGCTTTTCAGGTTATGTATTTGTTAAAGTATAGTCATCGAAAGAAATAATATTTATACTCTTACCGTTTATGTTATGAATCTTTATAGTATCACAATAAAAATGGTTGGTTTAAGAATTCAGGAATATAAATACTGCATTAAATAAAATTAATAATATATAATGTATGGTGCCAAATAAGTAATATTTTTGTGCATTTGGACTACATATCTGGTTTTCTCCATAACATAGTTTTAACTAAACGGCATGTATTAAAAAATAGCTTCTCTATTTTGGAATAAGAATTTCTGTATGAAAGGTAGGTTAATATATTATAACAAAAATATAATCTTCTTTTGTAATTTTAAGGTTAAAAAAATCAATTTTGACCAAAATAAATAAGTATTTTTGATTATTTGAAAGAGTGTGTTAATATGGTCATATAAATATACTCTCTAAAAATGAATTAGTCAAAAGTAACTAATTTAATAGTTAATAGTGGCTGCTTTTTCACTTGTGCCATGGTTAACCATGGAATACCATGGTATCCCAAAATTTAACAGCCAATTCTTATGTAAAATTTTCCCCTGAATCCGAAAAAGTAGTGAAAAGTTAAAAAAGTGGAACAGTTTTTGAGATATAGTCAATTTTCCATTTAATATGGAATTGACTATATCTCAAAAACTGTTCTACTTTTTTAAATTTTGACGATATTTTCTGATTCAGGGGAAAATTTTACATAAGAATTGGCTGTTATATTTTGGGATACCATGGTATTCCATGGTTAACCATTGCACAAGTGTAAAGCAGCCACTATTAACTATTAAATTTGACTAATTCATTTTTATGGAGTAGGTATCCTAAATAATTGTTGAATATGGTTCAAATTAAATTGAGGCTTTTATACTTTCGACAAAACAAAACAAGGAACTTGCAATGTGAAAATATTTAATACTCCCATAACATGTAACTTATTAAAATTTTAAAAGTTGTAATAATTTCTTGATATAGATAGATACCTATACTTTAAGATGGATTAGAAAAACTACCACAATTTTTTAGAAGAAATTGTATATATATACTGTGGGATTTATTTAAATTTTAAAAGTTATAAGTATACCTAGCTTATAAGCTAGGTTATGATTGTTCGATGTAGATCAAATTCTGTCGAAGCTTTTATAGGTACTTGTATTGACAGGATGGGTGTATATTAGCTGACAATGTTAGAAGGTTAGCTTTTGAATTTCCAAAAACATGGGTGTAATAGTTATTTGTTTTACAGGTATTGAAAAGCGACTTTTTCATGCGAGTGTTTAAGTTGCTCACGAGGCCGTCAGGCCGAGTGTGCATTAACATGAGCTTGAAAGCTTTTCTCAGTTTTTTCTATGACCCTTTTATTTTGTATTTTCAAATACAAAACAACATAACCTAAAAACGTGTTTGACAGCTGTTAAAATTACTTTCATCCTATTATTTTAATTTTTAAAGTTATATAAAATCATTAAACTTACCTTTTCAATTTAAATTAAGGCACTAAAAATTAGAGTTTATTATACAAACACAATTAATTGTGTTCTTAATGATATTTAGACATACATATACAAATACAATACAAATTTTGAAACGAATGTCAAACGATGCTGTCAATTTCTTTTTACACAGACCTGTCACTTTTCACACAGAAATGTCACTTTACATTCGTGTTTTGCCTTGCAAATAAAAACGGTGCCAATACGAAATGTGACTTTTACATAATGGTCGTAGAAAAAAACAATTTACGATGTTAAAATTACAAAATTAGATGATATTTTTTGTTATAATATATTAACCTAACTGTGATACAGATAGTATTATTCAATAATAGAGAAGCTAGATTTTTTTTAATAAATGCCATTTACACTTAATCCATTTCATTAAATGCAGTATTTATATTCCAAAATTCTTAAACCAACCATTGTTATTGTGATTCACAAATTTTTAACGCCTAAACATAAGCAGTACAAGTTTAAATACATAACCTGAAAAGCCTTAAATGCGTTCCATACGTAGTCACGTGGTGGGACCTTGAGGTGTGGAGCATAGTACAAGTACATTGTACATGATCTGATTTGAACCACGATACACATAAACCGGTATGCTGATGCTCATTTTATAGCTATATAGCTCTCTTGCACCGTGTGACGTCATGTGCGAACCAAAAGCTGGCGGGTAACTGGGTTAGAATGTTGTTTGCACTGCAAATTCACGTTATATTCGAAAATTACTTAGTGTAACAAATGTTAAGAGAACATATTTTAAGCAACAATTAATTTCCTACCTTGCTATTATTAGTTTTCAAAATTTTTTTATTTAATTGAATGAACTTAACTTAATCTAGACCTAATTTTATATTTTTTTAATGTGAAAAGTAACAAAATTATACAAATGCATTTATACAGGTAATAATCCCAGACCGCAAAATCCCATTCCCTGCATATGTCAGGAATATTCCCAGGATTATTCCAAGCGTACCGTAAACACAGGTGACTTTGCACCCCGCGGGTGACTTTAACCCTTTTTTTAAATTAACATTTATAATTTGTTGGTCTAAACCTGTCAATTGAGCGATTCTATTGAGTTTATATTACAGGAAAATCAGTGTTTTAAAGAAATAAATGGGATTTATTACACTTTAAAATTGTATATATCGCATCAGTGCAAAACTCTTAGAAATACACGCGTTACAATTTCTATATTATGCGCAATCCTTTGGAATAATGATCCTTGGTTAACTACAGGTCGATTTTTAATTTTTTTTATCGGTAATCCCTTGCAATAGATATACGTCGCTGCTAACACGTGTCTAATAAAAATAAAATATTGAGTTAATTTTATCCGGAAAATACACTGTGAGACAAAGTTACCTGCAACCAGGGGATAACTTTGCACACCCAGATTTTAATTTTAATTTTTGAAACTTAGCCCTTTGTTATATTATAACATAGTTATTATGAAAGAGCAACTCAAAACACAAATTTTGGTATACAAAATTTAATGTTTATGATTGTTAAAACCACAAAAATTTTAAGATTAGGTTTGAAAATGAGCTAAAGCCACCCGTGTTTACGGTACCAGAATATTCCCAGGAATATTACTGGCGTAATCAAATGTCCGATTTTTGGTTAACCCAGTCATCATAAAAAGAATATTCCATGTAGCGGCCTGCATAAGACTTGAGTATTGTTAGGAGAATGTCCCTTAATATAATTTGGGGATTACTCCCCTGGCCAGTTATACCCAGGAACCTAACTTAACTAGCCGTTATTAGTTACTGAGTAGATCAGTCCCACTCTAATCATTGTTAAGCTGTGCCATCACAGACGCACATCTCCAACTGATATTTTTAACCTAAGGGTTTATATAGTTTAAATCGTGCGTAAGCAACGGTGAGAGGTATATTGCAACTAAACTTATGATTATTCACTGGGAATGTTTTTAGATGGTGCTTGGAAGTTTTAGAGGATCATTCTAGGAATATTCCCAATTAACATTCCTAGAATGAAGGGGATTATTCCTAGATGATAGGGCATATTCCTGGAATATAACCAATTTGTAGAAATAGAAATGTTTTATTGTTTTTTAAATATAAAGAACATTCACTGGGAATGTTCCAAGATGTAGCTTGGAAGTTGTTGAGGATTATCCGCTTTAAGGTGAAATATTTAAAAAAATCTTATATTTGCTTTTTTACTTATGACACTTTTGAAGCGGATTTCTGATACAATTGTGTTTTAATTTTTATTATTGGTAAGTACTTAGCAAGTTGTATATAAATATAAGGTTAGGGTGAAAATTTACTATAAGTACCAAACAGAAAATTGGGTATACCAAATGTGCTGCCAGATCTTTATTTTTTGGAAATCGAAAATATTTAATGTTAGGTTAGGTTGACAGTTTTAAAAACACAATAATTTCGGACAAAAACTCAAAAGAAATCGTAGTAAAAACCCGTGCATAGCATAGCTTGTGCAAAACTGTTTGTAACATTTGAATCTGGTTCGCACGTGACGTCACATGCGCTGACTCTACGATTTTTCCTTTCATAACCAGCATAACGGTTTTTGTGTATCGTGATTTGAACAATTGAACGTTGGTTTAAATTTGAAGACCTGTAATATCTGTAATGGTAGCAAACAAAGTTGACACTTTTTTTAGATTAGAGTGGCAACGTCAGCTCGGTAAAGTCAAAGTCCAGGAAAAAGAGAGGAAGCACAAGCGCAAGCATAAAATCAAAATAACCGGCATCGAGGACTCGCAGTTAAAAAAACACAAGTACAAAAAAATTGAAAGGAAGAAAAGGTCGATCAGTAAACCGCATTACGTCGAAACACTTTTGGTGGCTGATAGATCGATGGTCGAGTTTCATGAGAGCGAAAATGGAGACATTGAGACGTATTTGCTCACTCTTATGAACATGGTATGTAAGATTCTTTATCATCATCATCATCATCATCATCTACTACTATAAGAAATTTGTTGTCAAAATCAATATAAATATATGAATCTTCTTTACAAATTGTAATACCCACAACTTACAACACCTAAAACAGCAATTTGCAGTTGCTACACATATTTTTATAGGTGCATTTTAGTCATGTACTTGTTGCGTCGTCACTATAATCTGGGTCCAGAAAATGTTATAATTGTGTGTAGATAAATATTATAATTTATGGTACAAGATGACAAAACTTTGAAGAGTTTTTACAACAATAACTAAAAAAGTATTTCTCCAAATTGTCATAAAAATAAAAAAAGACTGCCGTCAAAAATGACAAAATATTGTAGTACCTAATAGAGTAATTGCATCAAAAATGAAAATCCCTAAAAACCTTTTTAATGTAATCTAGAGGTAAAAACACATTGCAAAAATATTTTTTTATATTCCAAAAGTTCAACCCGGCCCCAAAATATCAAATTGAAAAAAAGGTACTTTTCAAACGTTCCGAACTCCCGCCATATTGCATGACGTCATAAGCTTCACCAGCTGTCAGAAATCAAGATGTCAACAAATAATAAACACCGATAAAGTTTATGTTTAACATGGAAAACGCGAAACCAAAAATTGGTTGTAAATATTGTTTTGTGCCTTGTTGTACAAATACAAACTGGAAAACTCCTGGGAAAGTTGTCCCTTCAATTATCAAAAGCAAAGTTTATGACCCTACACTGAGAGTAGTTACGGCTCAGCCGTATTTTCTTGAATTTATTAATATTTAACAAACCATATACCTAGTAAACGACATTTTATTTTACTTACATTAAAATGATCCTTAAAATGAGCAATAAAATGGTGACGATGTTTTGATATCGCGCCGAGCTATTTTAATCCACTTTATCCTTATTTTCCCTTTTGGCACGGTGATAAACCTTTTCCCAGGAGTTTTTCAGGTTGTATTTGTACAAGGCACAAAACAATATTTACAACCAATTTTTGGTTTCGCGTTTTCCATGTTAAACATAAACTTTATCGGTGTTTATTATTTATTGACATCTTGATTTCTGACAGCTGGTGAAGCTTATGACGTCATGCAATATGGCGGGAGTTCGGAACGTTTGAAAAGTACCTTTTTTTCAATTTGATATTTTGGGGCCGGGTTGAACTTTTGGAATATAAAAAAAAAAATTCGCAATGTGTTTTTACCTCTAGATTACAATAAAAAGGTTTTTAGGGATTTTCATTTTTGATGCAATTACTCTATTATTCAAGCAACTACCAAAATTTTCATCTGCAAATTGTAGCATATTATAAGGCTATATTTGAAGAGGTTAATGCAAGAAGTGCCTAAGTCCCATTTTTAATGAAATTACCATTGTGGCGCCATCTGAGAGTGTTTCACGTAAGCTTTCAGGTGGTATTTGCAGAGTGGCAGAAATATGTGTCTAAGTGCTTTAAAAGGCACTAATTAGTTTGCATTTACTTCAATAGAAGTTTACCTGGTTTTCAATGCAAGAAGTACCTAAGTCACCATTTTGACAGATGCAATGCAACATGTGCCTTAGTCCACGTTATTTAAATTAGGTTATATCCATAGATAAAATACTTATATCTGAGCAAATTACCTATTAAGCTGTGTTAATCCTAATAATTTGTGTCCGTGATTATTAAAACATGACTATGACAGGTAAGTAAAGTAGAATAAAACAGCTTGTGTTTCCTTAAAATTAAATTTATTTTGTTATTCTTCTTACATTGACTTCATCCCAAGTTCACAAACTTAGCAATCCCATTTACATGGAACCAATCTAAAAATTGAGCAGTTGAAATTTAACAACGTAACCCATCTTGTAAAGTACGTTCAATCATTGGACACTGAATTTTTTGTTTGAACCTTGTCTCAAAAGGGAAGTATATTTCAGCAAAATGATGCCATTGATGTAGAGTTTGATTAGTTACAAGAGGCCGACGCTATTTATGATTAGCCAGCCTTCTTATTATGTTGTTAGTTTTGCTTTAAGTTAAGTTTTACTTATCGTGTTGTAATCTTTTTCTTTAAGCGTTTCTTGTCATTTTGTACCTGATCTTAAGTTTTAATCATGGAAGTCAAATCCACTTTCTACCAGGAATACCAAAACAACACACATTTTGATCATAATATTGTGTGCAATATTTCATAATCAAAAATAAGCCTTCAAACCTCAATATCTCAGAATCACCTATTTGTGACTAAGGCATTTCTTGCATTGACCCCTTCATTTGTACATTACTTATAAAATGTTGTTGCATTTTTTAATGCCACCAAATAAATTTATTTATACAAATTGTAGCAGATCGTCGATATATTTTTGGGGGGTTGGATGAGGGGATAAAAAAGCCAATATCACTGTAAAATAATACCAGTTTTATTACTGACTGGTATAAAAACCAACATATTAGTCTTAAAAATAAACTTAATGCTAAAAATGCAGTACGTATACATTAGGGTGGAGTAAAAAGGTCCGAAAAATGTTTTTATTCGTATTTCTTCTTTCCTGTATTATTTATTATTGACCACATATGAGTACATTAACTATGCAAAAAATGTTGACTCTAGGACTTTATTTTCAGGTGGCCCACGCAGCAAGAAAAAAAACAAATTCTGTTTTAGGCGCGCAATATACTGATAATAATTGACATAATAATTATTATTATGTCAATAGATTAAAACCAATATTGACCTTTTTGTCATGTCCATGGTATAGCATTAGTTATACTCCCATCCGATAGAGGCGCTCACCGCGTCGCTATCAATCAATAAATAATTTTTGTATACCGACTTAATAATCGAGCGGTTGCAAAATGCCTAAAACTCGTAAAGATTGGCGATGTCCTGTATAAGGTGAACCACAAAAAATTTTTGAAAACATGTTGCCGACATATAATGATATAATTAAATAATATTTTTTGGTCAGAAATGATTTGCTTGAATTAAATGGTGAAAAAGGCCATGCGTGTAAAATTATATTCTGTGCCGTGAAAAAACTTCGCAATGATGTAAAAAAGTCCAAAAAACTATTTGATATTGCTACTTGTAAATGCGATTCAAAGAATTCGTGCAAATGTGCTTTTAAAATTTGGTTGCAATAGGATGTGATGGTACCGCGGTAAATAGAGGACAACGTTTGTCATCGTTTTAATGGAAAAATAACTTGGTTGCCCTCTACAGTGGTTTGTGTGTTTAATTCACATACCTCGATGGTACAGCAACAGGGCCGAAAAGTTTTTCAGGTGTTATTGGTAAAGAACTGGAGAAGTGACTGAACTATGAAGTAGTGGATTTTGAAGTAATTGACGTAAAATTGCCCGAAATTGATGCTAGTTTGTTGAGCACGGATCAAAAAAATTTGTACCAAATTTGCTCAGCGATATCTTAAGGTACAATTCCCACTTCCTTATAAGGATATTTGTTAGCTATAGCTAACAAAGATCCAGGAAAGCTAGCTATGGCTGACGTGTGCTTATATGTGTTTATATGTGGGGACAGCAAATCCATCGGCAAACCTAAAAGAATTGGCTACTTTTATCATGAAAGTGTATGCCCAACGTGGTTTTACATCAAAACCAAGCCTACGTGCAAACATGGTCCTTTTCACATATTTAATATGACTAAAAGAGCATTACACCTCTACAAAAACTTGAAGGCCTTATAACTATAGTTATAAAAAATATTCAGAGAAATATACATCCTGAAAACCTATTACTTGCTATATAGCAACAGTATGTTACCTACAAGCTATATATGTTACCTACAAGATATATATCGATCAGAGAACTAGCTTTGCGGAAAATTAATTAAAGGTGAGAAAAGAATTAAAATGTTCGAGATTACGGGAATTAAAGCTTCCACAGCTAAACACTGAAGCATTACATTTTTAGGAGTTAATTCACTGGGCGACAGAAAAGTTAACTGAACCACCTATGACTATGAAATACGATAACAGAAATTACCAATACGATTTCTTCGGGTGCCCATTTCCTATACTTCCAAAAATTTCCTTATCACACCCATGCAGTGGAACTTTGTGTAAACCAGTATACTAAATCTTCAGTCTCGGTTTGTGGATCGGAAGCAAGAGAAGGTTTCATCAGACCTAGAATTAAAGCCAGAAAAGAATTACCAAATTTTGATACCAAATGTCAATATTTTCGCGAAAAAAGAAGATCTCCTTTCTACCAATAAACACTCCTGATGTTACTTAAAGGTTATGATTTACTTTTGAATATGTTTACGTTTTACGTTAATTTTACTAAAATAAACTTTTTATTTATTAATAATGCTATTTTTATTACTTTGCATATTTTTTTAGAATTTTCAAAACTTCGAGATTGATGCGCCACCTCAAGATATTAAAAAATTGAAATATTTTTTTGATATTTATTCATTTTACGCCTTTAGTCAACAATTAATAATACAGGAAAAATCAATTAATAAATAAAAAAAAATTACTCCACCCTAGTATACTAGTATACTGCCGTGCTTAATGAAAACGCCGTAACCAACAATTTTGCGATTTTTGGTTTACGGCATTTTCTACTAGAACAATTCATCCGGCGTCTATCCCCGGTACTCAAAAAACCGTATATATATATATAGATACGGGGATAGACGCAGGATGAATTTTTCTAGTAGAAAATGCCGTAAACCAAAAATCGCAAAATTGTTGGTTACGGCGTTTTCATTAAGCACGGCAGTATACTAGTATACTTTATACAGCTTTAAAATAAATACCTATTTCAGTGACGAATAAAAAAATTAATATTACACATATGCATATGGGTGTAGAAGAATATACAAATATATCTTGTGTTTCATTTAAAAAATATATAATATTTCATGAACGCGATGCTCCATTGTTTTGGTTCCGATATGTTCAAATACTATCGGTTCACTTGAAGCTGCTTTGATTACCTAAAAGATTAATTATAATTAATTAATAAAATGAAGGGAATTTTTAATTTTTTTGTCCATACATTTTAAAGTTGAATAAACCATTTTATAGTTTTCTATTTATATATTGTTTTTATGAAAAGTAAATATAGTCCTAAAAATGCAGTGATGTTTTTAGATTTTTAAAGCTAAAACGCATTTATACAAGGTATACACATGTAGTTTTCAACTTTTGTTTTCGAAGACAACTAGGACTAAGAAGCTAAGAATATGAAATTAACTTACTTTTAAATTCTTTGATAAGATTTTCAAAACCCCATTCTTTCAATAAATTCGCCACAAACAGATCCATTGCCCTTTTCGCACACAACACAAATTATTTTCCCATCAATTTTGGCTTGTTTAGAATTAGGGTAAATCAGTGGCAGCTCGTCGTATAAAGCAACTGAGACGTTTTAAAACTAATTTCCAGTCATTAAAAGTATCAAAACATAGAATAACCATTAAAGTTTAAAATATTTCCTTTAAATTTAGCGCGCACCCCTTCCAACTTTAATTCTAAACGCTTAAATCATTGCCCGACCGCATAATAGGAAAATAGTAATCCCATAAATTTGCGTTTCATATACGTCACACATTGCCGATACAACATCATGCTCCCCACCGCTGCACGGTGCACCGGCACCCCCGCAAGTCGGGGATAGTACGCGAATTTTTGTAGACATTGAGGCCCACAAAGTTGGGCTTGTACCACAGAATATGGAAGTCAGCAGAGTCAGTCCCGAGATCTGTGCGGCTCGCTTATCAGCCGTTGTAAAATACTGGGCGGGGCGTGGAATGTTTTAGTAAACAAAGTTTATTAATAAGATCTATTCGTGTTTATAGTTTCTTATTTCTGTTTAGTCTTTACCTTAGTGTTAAGTTGTGATAAAAATGCAAGCGTAAAATACATTATTGTGTTGTGAATTCATGTAAAAATAATTAAAATAATTATAAAAGATCATTTTTATTTTAATATATTATTATATAAACACACAAATACCACAGTAAAAATCACAAAAAATATAAATAAAAATATTTATGTTTTTTTATAGTTCAGTGTTAAATCGTTGAGTTTCATATACCTACTGTGCTTGTACATTATTATTTTGTTTTTGTGTGGTTGTGCCTTTTTTAATCTAAAAATAATTATTGTAAGATAGGTAAAAATAAGCAGTACATCCTGGGTAATGTAGGACCCTGCTGAAGGAATAAATAAAAATCCCACCTCGTCCCGCACTTTTTGTATTATTCTAGCTAAATTTTAAAAATTCTTCTCGTGAAAGAACATATTTTTAAATAATATATTTTTATTATTTAGATTCTGAAGTGCTCCAAAAACGCGAGACTTTAAAAATTTCAAAAAAAATTGCCTGCGGTGCCATATAGCGGTTCATGGGCCTCACCTTCATGAATGGTCACGAGCCGCCACTTATATAGATAGATGTGGGGAAAAAACAAAAAATAAAATTTTGTGCAAAATGCATTTTGCTCTTTATTCAGTATGTCCCAAGATTAACTTCTAAAATTCTATTTAAATAAAATATTTTGCATTAAAAATTAGAATCACACCCAAACTTTCGTTGCATTTGCATTTAAGCAGATAGAAAGAAAGAAGCATAAAAAAGAAAAAGGGGTTGAAAAATAAATACCTATACGGAAAGAAATAGTTTTAAATTAAGTGCTATAAATATTGCTGTAAAAAAAATGTGGTAATATTGCACCCAAACATGAAAAGAATTTATGTCACTGTCGCTTCACTTGCTATGGTCTAAATTGAATATAGTACATAAGTTTGCTGTTTAGTCTTTGCCTTAGCGTTAAAATGGAAAGTTGTGATAAAAATGCAAGCGCAAAATACATTATTGTGTTGGGAATTCATGTAAAAATAATTCAAATAATTATAAAAGATCATTTTTATTTTAATATATTATTATATTAACACACAAATACCACAGTATAAATCACAAAAAATATAAATAAAAATATTCATGTTTTTTTATAGTTCAGTGTTAAATCGTTGAGTTTCATATACCTTCTGTGCTTGTACATTATTATTTTGTTGTGCGGTTGTGCCTTTATTAATCTAAAAATAATTATTGTAAGATAGGTAAAAATGAGCAGTACCTCCTGGGTAATGTGGAAACCTGCTGAAGGAATAAATAAAAATCCCACCTCATCCCGCACTTTTTGTATTCTAGCTAAATTTTGAAAATTCTTCTCGTGAAAGAACATATTTTTAAATAATATATTTTTTCTGAAGTGCTCCAAAAACTCGAGACACTTTCATGAATGGTCACGAGCCGCCACTGGGGTAAATAGTTCTGACCGCTACCTACGCTCAACCCTAGATAAATATTTATGCACTCAACTAAGACTCAACTGCAATTATATTTTTATACAGTACACCGGCCAGAGGGACGTTGTTTTGGTATGCCAAGACAAAACACACTAATTACCTTGAATCAACCAATCAGAAAAGGATTTTTTTTACTATAAATAACTTGATTTAAAACTAACCCACTTGTACACATTTTTCACACAACTTGCGAATAAGTTTACCACAACGACGCTTCGCGTCAAGAGGATTAGATTTACATCAAGTTATTTATAGTAAAAAAAATCCAATATATTGTTGCGTTCTTTATCCAGACTAAATACATAATACATAATACATTTTGCGACAACTCTCTTACAGCAAACTTATGTACTATATTCAATTTAGACCATGGCAAGTGAAGCGACAGTGACATAAATTCTTTTCATGTTTGGGTGCAATATTACCACATTTTTTTTACAGCAATATTTATAGCACTTAATTTAAAAGTATTTCTTTCCGTATAGGTATTTATTTTTCTACCCCTTTTTCTTATTTATGCTTCTTTCTTTCTATCTGCTTAAATGCAAATGCAACGAAAGTTTGGGTGTGATTCTAATTTTTAATGCAAAATATTTTATTTAAATAGAATTTTAGAAGTTAATCTTGAGACATACTGAATAAAGAGCAAAATGCATTTTGCACAAAATTTTATTTTTTGTTTTTTCCCCACATCTATCTATATCAGTGGCGGCTCGTGACCATTCATGAAGGTGAGGCCCATGAACCGCTATATGGCACCGCAGGCAATTTTTTTTGAAATTTTTAAAGTCTCGCGTTTTTGGAGCACTTCAGAATCTAAATAATAAAAATATATTATTTAAAAATATGTTCTTTCACGAGAAGAATTTTTAAAATTTAGCTAGAATAATACAAAAAGTGCGGGACGAGGTGGGATTTTTATTTATTCCTTCAGCAGGGTCCCACATTACCCAGGATGTACTGCTTATTTTTACCTATCTTACAATAATTATTTTTAGATTAAAAAAGGCACAACCACACAAAAACAAAATAATAATGTACAAGCACAGTAGGTATATTAAACTCAACGATTTAACACTGAACTATAAAAAAACATAAATATTTTTATTTATATTTTTTGTGATTTTTACTGTGGTATTTGTGTGTTTATATAATAATATATTAAAATAAAAATGATCTTTTATAATTATTTTAATTATTTTTACATGAATTCACAACACAATAATGTATTTTACGCTTGCATTTTTATCACAACTTAACACTAAGGTAAAGACTAAACAGAAATAAGAAACTATAAACACGAATAGATCTTATTAATAAACTTTGTTTACTAAAACATTCCACGCCCCGCCCAGTCTTTTACAACGGCTGATAAGCGAGCAGCACAGATCTCGGAACTGACTCTACTGCCTTCCATATACTTTGGTACAAGCCCAACTTTGTGGGCCTCAATGTCTACAAAAATTCGCGTATTATCCCCCGCCTTGCGGGGGTGCCGGCGGCACCGTGCAGCGGTGGGGAACATGATGTTGTATCGGCAATGTGTGACGTATATGAAGCGCAAATTTATGGGATTACTATTTCCCTATTATGCGGTCGGACAATGATTTAAGCGTTTAGAATTAAAGTTGGAAGGGGTGCGCGCTAAATTTAAAGGAAATATTTTAAACTTAATCTATGTTTTGATACTTTTAATGACTGGAAATTAGTTTTAAAACGTTTTATATTTAAATAAGTAATGTATCGAAAATTTCAAATTATATTATAATTTTAACGACGAGCCGCCACTAACACATATTACCAATACACCTTTGCTATTATTATATTGATTAAACATTTGTTGCATACCGGTTTGCATTGTTAACTGTTGGTAGGTAGGTTCAATTCAATTTTAAGTATTATGTTAATCCAAAATTATTGCAAACATAACATTACCCATTATAACACACACAGCAATTTTCATATTTTTAACATTATCATTTAAATATCGTGTGTATGCAAATCTCTTTGATATATTATGCAGGTCTCGTTTTTCTACATGGACCCAAGCATCGGCAACCTCATAAACGTAGTGGTGGTCAAAATAATTTTGTTGGACGATGTGGATGAAAACCTCAATGTAACATCGAATGGACACAAAACTTTAAATAGTTTTTGCGAATGGCAAAAAAGTTTGAACCCCACAAATGACTCTCATCCACATCATCACGATGTTGCCTTACTAATGACAAGGTAAAACTAAAGGTTTTTTATTTTCTGGGCTTACATTTTGCGGTGAACTTATTTATACAGGGATTTCAATTAAAAACAAGCCATCCTTAACGGATTTGCAAGTTATAGTAAAAAGGTGTGATTTAAATCAAACAAAGAATTCTAGAAAAAAAGATATGAAAAAAACTTGTATTTAATTTGTTTCAATTTACCTTTAGTAGAGTTACACGTTTTAGGTAAAATATTTGTATTGATATATCAAACTACCTACCTAAATATTAGAAAAATGGCTTAACTATACTTTAGCAGAAAAAATCCTTTCTCCCTTATAAAATCCAGTTTTGTGAGGAAATGACGCAAAGAATAAAGGTTGCTCCCAATTTATTCAGGCCAATTCACTAACATGAGTCGTTAACGTTAGCCACTAGAATTAGTGTTTATCGTTATATTCAATTCGTCTGATTGGTCGGGTTGGTCTATAACCACTGGTCCTAGTGGCTAACGTTAACGACTCTTGTTAGTGAATTGGCCTGATTAAAAACATTTCTTTCAGCGATGAGTCTACTTTTTTATCCAAATGAATTTGTAAATTTCGTAACTAAAATGAAATGTGAAGAATAGATCTGATAAAACAATGCTAAGGCTCTTTAAATTATGTACTAAATTTCCCAATAAGGTATTGAAAATATATTAAAATTACCTTGAAATATAGTAAATGTTCAATCCGTTACTGTCCCCAGCAAAGATTTATGAACTTTACTGACTGCTGGAAAAATATTGTTTCTGCAGTCATAAGTAAAATATTTTTTATTTAATTTGTAGAAGTTTATACAGTTATTAACTAATTTTTGTTTAAAAAAGAACCTAAAACAATTTTGTGACGAGCATTTTAGTTGATATCCCTTAATTTAAAATGTCCAATCCGTAACGCCATTTTCACACAATATAATATTCACAACTCAGCAACGCTTTCCCAACAAGGTAATATATCTATTGTATAGCTCGTAGTACGTGTCAAAGTTAAACAAGGTGAGTAAATTATTTTATGTTTATAGGTGTAAATAAGAAATAATTAATTAATATATAAGTGCGTACACTTATTAGTAGTCTTTTCTGTGACACTTGCTAGAGTATCAGTTTCTTTCACCAATTTCTTTAGATGTAAACCATTCTGAGTAGTTTATCCTAGAGGATTATAAAAAATGTAAATAAAAAAATTAAATTAATATTTGTAATGCCCTTTATTTTGGCGTCACGGAAAAGACAACATTTATTCTTCCTACAATGAAAATTCGTAAAAAAAAAACAATCTAGTTTGTATTACAAGCATAAAATATTCAATACTTGATTAATGTATAGAAATAATATGTAATATATATAGACAATTATATCTTAAGATACGGAAATAGTGAAAATTTGATATTCTTGAAAATGTTATAGACCCACTTTAAGTGTAGTAATACTATAGTATACCCAGTCATTAAAAAATCAGATGCTTTACCAGTCAAAGAATGGCAACTCTGGCAATGCTATTCTGGCATTTCGTCTGCAAAAGCGAGCACTAAGATTACTTTGCAATCTTAAATACAATGATCACTGTCAACAGTACTTTATTTATTTGGGAATAATGTCCCTGCCATCAATTTTTATTTATTCTACGTTAACAAAAATCCACAAAGATAAAAATAATTTTATCTGTGGTAAGGACTATCATCAGTATGACACCAGAAACAAATCCCAAATCAGGACACCTAAATATAGACTCTCAAGGGTTTCAAATAACACATTAAACTTCAAATTGTACAATGCCCTTCCGACAGAAGTAAGGCTAAGCTATAATAATTTTCAGAATAAAATCAAAAAGTTTCTCATTAATTTCTGTTTTTAATCCACTGAGGTATATGACGCTTAAAAGTAAAGAATATCTCAACCATTTCTCTCTTAAGTAAGTAACTATATTTGACAAATATTATTTGTATACCATTTTAAATGTATATGGCATATTGATGTTAACTGTATATTGACTAAATGCATATATATATAATGCATGTGTAATATTTAAGAATGTATATCTATTTATAATCTGAATAACCAAAAAATAATCTATGTGTAGAGGTTTTCCAAAAAATGGATTGGTAGAAGAGGTGATCAAGATATCTAGATTTAAGCCACTTGATTTTTTCTTTAAAGTAATTAAAAATTAAGTCTACAAAACACCACCTTAGAACATTCAATAACTCATAGGAAGAATAATTCATGAATGTAGGCAGATAACCCTTGAAACGTTTCAAAAAGTTTAAGAACAGATTGTATTATTGTTTAGCAAATAACGGAGCACATTTAGAAAATTTATAATAATTATATTTCTTATGGAATACTTTGTTTTATTTATATCACACCTTTGTTGGCCCTAACTTGCAAACCCGAGATCGGATTTTAATTTTTTTTAACTATCTAGGTTTAGAATTTTCTTTAAAATGATGTTTCGCATTGTTATTATTATTATTAAATATTTTTTTTAAAGATTAAACATATGTATGGGGAACGATAATTGTACTACACTAGGAGTAGCACATATTGGTGGCATGTGTAGGTCAGGAAGAAGTTGCAGTTTTAATGAAGATAATGGAATTTCTTCTGCTTATACACTGGCTCATGAAATGGGTCACAAGTAAGTAACAACAAAGTAAAACTCATATATTAAGCATAGTCTAGAAAATATTCCTTGACTGAAATGTACTGATTACAAAACTAACTGAAAAAAATATAAAAACGTTTTAAACCGTTTGTCTTCTCCGCATGTGGTGATTTTGAAGTGCCAACGCACAAACTCAAAATTACTAATAAAATACTAGAAAATTATGACAAAAACAACAACAAAAACAAAGATTAGGTATGGATGAATATTAGGTTGGAAATTAATATGGGTCAAAAAATAAAACGGTTGCGAATGATGAAAAAAAAAATCACCAAACAAAATTTAAAAATGTCTAATTCTATCTGAAAAACATCTTAAAGCTGTTAAAATATTCTTAGATTATCCTGATATACTTTGTTTTCTTCTTATTTCCAGTTTTTTTCATTACATGCCAAGGAAGTTGTTGTCAAAATCAATATAAATATATGAATCTTATTTACAAATTGCGTTGAAAATACGGATAATAACAAAATGTAAAACACATTCAAACAAAATTGAAACAAATTTATTACTTTAACTTAAAACACCTAGAACATCAAGTTGTAGTTGCTACACATATTTTTATGTTTTATGTATGTAGTCATGTACTTGCGTTTGTCACTTTAATCTGGGTCCAGAAAATATTATAATTGTGTGTACATAAATAACTTTGTAGAGTGTTTTACAACAGATACTAAAAAGTTTTTCTCCAACTTGTCGTAAAAATAAAAGAAGCGTTAAACACTGTCGTCAAAAATAACACAATAATGTAGTAATTATTCAGGCAACAACCAAAGCTCACTTCTGCAAATGTAGCAAATTATAAGGCTATATTTGTACGACGTGTGTTCAGAAAATATCGGGAATTTTCGTTTTTTGAAACAAATATTTATTTATTCGTCTACATTAATGTTGTCGCCTTCAAAATAGTTGGATATTATGCACATGTGCCAGCTCTTCTTCCAATACTCTAAAGACTTCTAAAACTCGATCTTTGGCATAGCCTTTAGTTCTTTCAGCGATGCGCTTTTAATGTCATCTATGCTTGCAAAACGACGGCCCTTTAAGGTTCTCTTTATTTTTGGGAATATAAAAAAGTCAGACAGAGGTATGTCTGGCGAATATGGAGGCTGGGGCCAATATAAGTGTTTTGAAACGCCCCTATATTGTTCTATTCAAAAATGTACAAATATATCTGGTGTTGCATAAAAAAATAAATAATATTTTATGAACGCTTCTCCATTGTTTTGGTTCCGACATGTTCAAAGACTATCGGTTCACTTGCAGCTGCTTCAATTACCTAAAAGAGTAATTATATAGGGTTTTCCAAAAAACAACGTAACTTTTTTTTTTAATGAAGGGAATTTTTTTATTTTTTTGTCCATACATTTTTGAGTAGAATAAACCCTTTTCTGGTTTTTCAATTTTATAAATTGTTTTTATGAAAAGTAAATATATTACTAAAAATGCTGTTTTTAGATTTTTAAAGCAAAAATGCATTTATTGGAGGTGTATATACCTCCTATAAATGCGTTAATTTTTAACTTTTGTTTTCGAGAACAACTATAGTTGTCCTATAGGACTAGGAAGCTTAGAATATGAAATTAACTTACTTTTAAATTCATGGATAAGATTCTCAAAACCCCATCTTTCAATAAATCTGCCACAGACTAATCCATTGCTCTTTTCGCAAACAACAAATTATTTTCCTGTCAATTTTGGCTTGTTTACAACTAGGGTAAATAGTTTTGCCCGCTTCCTACACTCAACCCTATATGAATATTTACGCACTCAACTAAGACTCAACTGCAATTATATTTTTATACAGTACACCGGCCAGAGGGGCGTTGTTTTGGTATGCCAAGACAAAACACACTAATAACCTTGAATCAACCAATCAGAAAAGTATTTTTTTTTCAATAAAAAACTTGATTGAAAATACCTCCCTTGCACACATTTTTCACACAACTTGCGAATAAGTTTACCACAACGACGTACCAAAAATCATCACAGACTAAATGCATTTTGTTTATTTCTTGTTTTACACAAACAATGCAAATCTTTACAATGGGGTTAGTTGCTTCCCAGTACATTTTGTCACATTTTTCGACAACTTAAAGCAAAATTATGTACTATACCGGGTGTATCTGAGGCGCCCTGTAACTTTTTTATTTATTAAGATAGACACATGAAATTTAGCATGGTTAATTAGGATATGAAATGCCACTTGTAAGAGTACAAAATTAATTTTTTGAACTTATTATTAATGATACCAACTTTCGATTTTTAAATGGAATGCCCTATATATTTTTACATAATTGGAATCCTGAGAAAACTCTGAGTCAGTCAGCATCCTCAAATTGACCTTATGACGTTTCGTCGTCAGAAAAGGCATCATCATAAAGATCAATCTAGAGTGCTTTGAACTATATTATTTTCTTCTAATGGATTCACACAATTCCTGAAAAATGGAACCTTGCATTAGAAAGTTGTTATTCAGCTATTCCCAGCAGTCTAAACTTGTCAAAATTCGTTTTTCTCAAATAGTTCAAAGCATTCTAGATTGATCTTTATTATGATGCATTTTCTGATGACTAAACGTCAAAAGGTCAATTTGAGGGTGCTACCTGACTCAGAATTTTCTAAGGATTCCAAATATGTAAAAAATTTCATGCGTCTATCTTTATAAATAAAAAAGTTACAGGGGTGCGCCTATTCTTAGATAGACACGGTATGGGTTAATATTTCAAAACTGTCGATTTTCGTTAACACATAAAAAAATTGCAAATCTTTTTCATTTTGCACTTTTGGTACTTTTCCACTCATTAACATAGACATGAAGACTAAAAACGTAATTTTTTTGTCTTTTTTAGAAAGTTGAACCCACGGTTTTACTTGGTCATCCTTATTCTTCTGCGTCTCTCACGTACTTTTAGCTTCCTGGGTCAACTTGTTTCGTGGTTTTGTCATTTTCATTAATTTCCCACTGAAATGAAATATTTTAAATTGGTTACATGTAAGGGACACGACAATGACGAGCACGGTAATGATGATTTTAAGGTTATAGTGTTTTACAATGTTTATTCGAAAATGTAATGGAATTTTCATCTTTTACCAATGTTGCGTTTACGCAACACCATATTGTCGATTTTTTTTTAAACAATCTGAAGTTAAAAAAAAAATATTTTATTACTTAATCTTGTTTTAAAAGGTTTCTTATGACTTCACAAAAATCCACGACAGATTCTCTTAAATATTCTATAGAAAAAAATTAGTTTAAAATGTAACAAAAAAGCCCGTTGGTAACTTAGACTAATGCATACTATATTATGAATTCTAAGAGTTATTAAAATAAATATTTTTTTTATAAAATGGTGATAGGAATGATAAAAGAAGGCAAACATAGTAAAAAAACATAAAAAAACATATACTGGATGTAAACAAAATCGACCGCAATTTATATGTTGCGAAAACGCAACGTTGGTAAGATATGTGAATACCCGGGCTATGAGAAGGTCAACCGCCTAAACCAAAACAAACACTTGTCTAGGGTCAACCGTGTATCGTCGTTCACTGTACGGCATAGTAAGGGTATTTATTTAGTTTGTTACATTATTTTGATTACTATAAGGAAAAAAAATATTATAAAAATGAATAGTTTTTGACTCAAAAAGAATTGGAAGCTGCCCTAGAAGATGTTGCAAATGAATTAGAAAATGAAAAACGTATGCACTAATATTCTAATTTGGAATATATGCACACAATCTATCAATTGACGAACAAATGGTGCCATACTTTGGAAGACATTCTTGTAAAATGTACATAAAAGGTAAACCTGTAAGATTCGGTTTCAAGCTATGGTGCTTATGTTCGTCAGATGGCTACCTCTACCAATTCTTGCTATATGCAGGTGCAAGTCCTGCTAATCAAAAATCTGACATTGGTATGGGAGGACAAGTTGTTCTTGATTTATTGTCTTCCGTAAAGGATCTTGAAAATCATCAAATATTCTTCGATAATTTTTTTTCTTCTTACAAACTGTTTGTTGCACTTACTGAACAAAAATATTTCGCTTTCGGCACTATTCGAGACAATAGGACTAACCATTGTCCTTTGGAAGCTGCAAAGTTAATAAATAGAAAAGAGAGAGGATCTTATGACGCTGCTTACGACGACACCACAAATGTTTATTTAGTCAGATGGAACGATAACTCTGTAGTAACCATGATTAGTAACCACCTTAGCGTTGAGCCAATGTCTACAGCAAAACGTTATAACAGAAAGGAAAAAAAGAAGTCAACATACAGCAACCTAATGTAATCAAGGTTTACAATAAATATATGGGAGGCGTGGATTTGCACGATAACGGAGTGGCAAACTACCGAATTGGCGTAAGTGGTAAAAAGTGGTGGTGGCCTTTGTTTATAAATACAATAGACAGTGTAATCGTCAATGCTTGGAAAATTTACAACTCAGTAAACAGTAAGAAAATGTCACAATTAGATTTTAAGTCATACATCGCTGTCAGACTTCTAAAAGCTGAAAATCGCAGGTCAAAACCATCAACTTGTAGTAGTTGATGAACTTCGCTATGACAATATTGGTCATATCATAAAAAAGTGACAATAAAATCCGGCGAAAATGCAAGGTTTGTCACAGTCAAACAGTATTTATGTGCAAAAAATGTAATGCATATCTTCACAGTGATTGTTTTGAAGAATTTCATAAAATGTAAATATTATTTACCTTTTTTACCAACGTTGCGTTTACGCAACACTTGTTTTTTTCTAAACTTGTTTCTTTTTAAGATTTTTTTTTCAAAATTTGTCTTTATTTTACTCTATAAATAAATAATAGCAATAAAAAAATACATTTTTTTATTTAATTAGTACCTTGGTAAAATATGGGTTAATGCAAGACTCCTTTGTATTAATGTAAATATTTTGTATGTCCATAAACTTTGAAATAATACTTACCCCGACAATGACGGACTTAGACGTAACAAGCCGTTTTTGTTTTCATTCGACGCACTTCACAACTTTATGGTTTGATATATGCTAGTGGACGTTAGACAGGCAGGATATTTCCATATCAGACGTTCGAAAACTTCCGGCATTTTCCGAATGTATCGCTTATTGAAATATGAAATTAGACACATTTTAAGTAGCCACGGCAATGACGCTCATGGGTGTGAATAAAGTTTAAACGGCATTAAAAGAAAAGTTAACATTTTAAAATGCAATTTCTTGCTTGCATTGTATTATTTTGTATTTACTCTGTAATGTTAGACAGGATATTGCAAGATTTAATTTGTAAATAAATGTAAGAAAATAATATGTTGTTGTTCTTCGAATGTGAACAAGGCACGGTAATGACGTTTGCGACACAAAAATTAAATTATATATTTACTATGCTCGTTTAGACTAACATAAGTAAGGAATCAAGTAAAAATAGTTAATTAAACTAGACATTTTCAGTGGGATATGCCAGAACCGATTGAATTACATTTTTGAAATATTCACCCATATTCAATTAGCAAGTAAAGAGACAGTGATATAAATTCTTTTCATGTTTAGGTGAAATATTACCACGAATTTTTTACAACAATATTCTAGCACTTAATTTAAAACTATTTCTTTCCGTGTAGCTTTACTGGGTTGAACATTTTAATAATAACTTTATCCCACACGGTGTAATTGATTTTTTTTTTAAATAAGCGAGACTGAAAATTTGTCGGATATTATTCCCAAACCTAATTCGGTCTACTAGAAGTGATCTGTTCGGATGTTTAATTAAAATGATAAAGGAGTGTCGGGAGATTTTATAAAAAAATTTTAGATGGCGATTTAAATTAATCTCGTGTCTCTTTAACCGTGCTGTTGATGGATTTTCTTTGTTTTAAATTTAATTAAAGAGGCTATATTTTTTATTGAGAGAAATTTAAATAAAAGTGATGATGTTAATTAGTTAGCAGATTGGCGTATTTTAGTTTAAATTCAAATTTATACTACTACAAAATTATTATTCCAATCCAATATATAGTATACCGGGTGTATCTGAGAATAGGCGCACCCCTGTAACTTTTTTATTTATAGATAGAGACATGAAATTTAGTATGGTTAATTAGGATATAAAATGCCACTTATAAGAGTACAAAATGAATTTTTTTAACATCTGGTTTCGCCGGAAATGATATCAACTTTCGATTTTAAAATGGAACGCCCTATATATTTTTACATATTTAGAATCCTGAGATAATTTTGAGTCGGACAGCATCCTCAAATTGACCTTTCGACGTTTCGTCATCAGAAAATGCATCATCATAAATATCAATCTAGAGTGCTTTGAACTATTTAAGAAAAATGAATTTTGACAAGTTTAGACTGCTGGGAATAGCTGAATAGGAACTTTCTAAGGCAAGTTCCATTTTTCAGGCATTGTGTGAATCCATTAGAAGAAAATAAGATAGTTCAAAGCACTCTAGATTGATCTTTATGATGATACATTTTCTGATGACGAAACGTCAGAAGTTCAGTTTAAGGATGCTGTCTGACTCAGAATTTTCTCAGGATTCCAAACATGTAAAAATTTATAGGGCATTCCATTTAAATTTAAAATCCGGCGAAACCGGAAGTTCAAAAATTCATTTTGTACTCTTATAAGTGGCATTTTATATCCTAATTAACCATGCAAAATTTCATGTGTCTATCTTTATAAATAAAAAGTTACAGGGGTGCGCCTATTCTCAGATACACCCGGTATACTAACCAATAAAGTGTATGTCATAATTTACACTGTATGATTTACCACCAACTATGCTACTTTTTCGCCATTACAATTACCATCATAACCTATTTTCTCTTTAGTTTTGGAATGTACCATGATACCAAGGATATCGGATGTACTGGAATTCAAGGAAATATTAAACACATAATGGCGCCCAGTTTTGTGGCAGACACTGGAGTTGTGAGTTGGTCCAACTGTAGCCGCAGAATGATCACTAACTTTTTGGAGTAAGTATGCTTAAAAATAAATATAATTTTTCTATTATTTAAAAATTTAGGATGTATTTTATACTCCTTTGTCTTAGATTTTATACTTTGTACATTACACATTGTATATATACTAGGGTGGTCGTTAAAAATTAAATTTTTTTTGACGCCCCCTAAGAAGCTTCTTTTTAATGAAAAATTACTGGAATTTTTTTTTTATTAAAAACAACACGTGCCTCAAGACGATCTAAGTTAATTTTTTGGTATAATCATGTTTTTTTGGGAATTTTTTATGAAAAATAAAATTATATTCGAATTATAAACTATTATAGAACCCAAATCAATAAAAAACAATAGTTCATCAAAATAACATAGAGACAAAAATTTATATTTAAAACTTTTCCCACTTGATTTGGTCTATTAAATAAAAAAATGAAAGATATTCCAATTGATATTTTTATTTTAAAACAAAATTGGTACAAACGTAATTTTAATATCTAGATTTCTTCACTCCAAGGTGAAGTTATTTCATTGTTAATAATTTTTAAATCTCAAAAAAATTATTATTCCATATTTTCAGAAAAGACATGATTATACCAAAAGATTAACTTAGATTGAGGCACGTGTTGTTTTGAATAAAAAAAAATTCCCAGTGTTTTTTCATCAAAACAAAGCTTTTTAGGGGGCGTCGCAAAAAATTTATTTTTTAAAGATCACCCTAATATATATTGACTAGTCAGTAGCGGAAATTTTATTTACTGCTTATTCATAAATTTTTTGTAACCTCCATTTTAGGTAGAATATGCATATTCCCTATATATGACCATGGTCAAAAAAAACGTGCACGTTTTACTTTTTTGTTCTCAAAAATAAAGACAATCTTAAAGGGCCATCGTTTAGGTTACAAGCATAGGTGAGCTAGTAGTTACCAGAAGTTTTTTAGTCTTATATACAGAGTGGTTTTTACTTACATAATACAATTCGTTATTCGATGAGAATTTTTTGTATGAAAAGCGCTCGGACACGTAAACCTAAATTTTTTATTTTAAATCTTCTAATTATAATTTTTATTTTTTTGCCCCCTCCCTATTTCCCCCCCACATTTATATTAAATCACATCCCCACACTTTTTTATCATAAATTGATAGTGCACACTTTTTAACGATACCCCATAAAAAGGGATTAGTAAAATTTGAAAAAGAAGAGTAAACATTTTTTTAAGCGTATAACAATTTTCTTATTATAACGCTCATAAGCATAGAAAGACTTCATATTTGTACGCAATGTCAAATTATTATACACCGCCGAACAATAATAAAAATACATTGAAATATATGGTTAAATTATTGATTTATGATTTTGTTATTAAATCTACAAAATGTTTGTTATAATTACTAACTTCTTATTCAATTAGTTAACAGATTACAGTTATAATTATGTGGATCTGGATTAACATAAAATCTGGTTAAAATTAAAAAATATTTTTTACTGTGTATACACAGTAAAAAATATTTAATAACAAAATAATTCAACCATAATTCTTGTAATGTTCAAAAAGGACCTTTTTGTAACAAAAGTATTTGTTGAAAATTGAGAACTTAATTAAACAGAATTTTTATAAGAAATGTTGCTATATTAATTAATTTATTAAACAAAAAAATTAACACAAACCTACATAAATGAACACAAAAATTACACACCCAATTCAATAACACACCATTTTCAAATTATTAAGTTATAAAAAAATTTGGTACAATATAGTTATCAGTACTACTACAACACTACTAATGTATTTCGTAACTTTAACCCACTTTACTGTATCCCCTAATTTCAGTTTGCACACTCGTTATTTAGGTATAAGGAATCCGAATAACATTAATAACAGATTTCTGGTAATATATTATAAACACAGTTGTTAAGAACACGTTACGAATTAGAATAAATTTGCAGGCGCTAAAGTCAGTTTGTTAAACATTAAAAAATATTCTCTAACCTTTGAAATTAACAAAATGCTTACAAAATTGCATATTACCTTAACAAAACTTTCGGTAAAATATTTTCCTTTGTTAAAATAATTACAAACCCTGGCTTTCTACAAAAAATTATGTTAAATTTTTACAAAATAAAATTAACAACTACAAACTCATGTTAACAAATTTGATTTTTAAAACAGTGTAAGAAGAGTGGTTCTTATCTATCGCGTTTAGCTCGAAATTAGCTAAGAAAATGTAAACCCACAGGTCATTGTAGAATAAATTTTTGTTAGATAATGGTACCTACTATTTTCGGTAAATTTTGCCCCATAAAGACCGTACTAGAAAAGATGATGGATTCATTCGTAATTCTTGACACGTCTGTTATAACATCGTGACGTTACACGCTCTCTTCAAAGCCATCTAAGCGTTTTGAATCTTGCGTTTTCAAAACTGTAGCGTTTTCAAAAATTGTTTGATGAACGTGGGAAAAAAATTAATAACAAACTCGTGTAAGTACTTAATAATTTAATTTAGAATGCACTTATACCCGTTATATGTTATTATGCCATTTATTTGTTTACATGTATTTTATACAGAGTCCCAACCTATAATCACGGCAACATAAATAATAATTTCTTGTAGTCGATTACGGTTATTAGCATATCGATTATGGTTATTAACCTTACTATCGTAACGAATACTTACATATCGTTGATAAACGCAAACAAATTTTTCCGCATTTTTTTAATGATTTAATAATACACTTTTTCGGTCCTTGCTTATTACGTAATAATAAAAGTAATAATATAATTATTATAGCCCTCCCAATTTCACCCTGACATTGATGGTGTGAAGTTATTATCGTTTTAAATGTATAATATACTTTTATATCTTTATGGGTGATTCTACAAATTGGACAACTTGATGTTATCAGTCAATAGAGTAGGTATTTTAATATTTTTTGTAAATATTTTAGTATATTACAAAAGATCCAGGTTTTTTTAACTTGTCCACCCAATTTTAATGTATTTTTTCAAAAGCACGTTTGTAGAAAAACATAATAAATATTCAAAACATCAGTACCTTGGCGTGTCACAACTCCTGAATCAAATATTTAAGTGGTTTTATTTTAGAATATATTTAATTTATCTTAAATTTTTCAATTTCACTACAAATTATAAAATATTAAATAATGTATTTTTCATATTTTATCATAGATTTGAATATTGACAATTTTGAATATTGACAATTTTTAAAGGGTAATTGGTAATGTTTGTACTTACTTTTACCTGTCCGTTCTGTGTCCAATGTTAAAATTCAAAATTCCTGCGAAATATTAGAGTTTAAACGTTAAGTCCTCGTTTTAACTCAAGAGTTGGTAGAAAATTAACCTACAGACCCCGCCCTTTGCACGACAGTCATTTGTACGCAATGTCAAATTATTATACACCGCCGAACAATAATAAAAATACATTGAAATATATGGTTGAATTATTGATATATGGTTAAATTATTGATTTATGATTTTGTTATTAAATCTACAAAATGTTTGTTATAATTACTAACTTCTTATTCAATTAGTTAACAGATTACAGTTATAATTATGTGGATCTGGATTAACATAAAATCTGGTTAATATTTTGTTAAAATTAAAAAATATTTTTTACTGTGTACCTATACACAGTAAAAAATATTTAATAACAAAATAATTCAACCATAATTCTTGTAATGTTCAAAAAGGACCTTTTTGTAACAAAAGTATTTGTTGAAAATTGAGAACTTAATTAAAAAGAATTTTTATAAGAAATGTTGCTATATTACCTAATTAATTTATTAAACAAAAAAAAAATTAACACAAACCTACATAAATGAACACAAAAATTACACACCCAATTCAATAACACACCATTTTCAAATTATTTAGTTATAAAAAAATTTGGTACAATATAATTATCAGTACCTACTACTACAACACTACTAATGTATTTCGTAACTTTAACCCACTTTACTGTATCCCCTAATTTCAGTTTGCACACTCGTTATATAGGTATAAGGAATCCGAATAACATTAATAACAGATTTCTGGTAATATATTATAAACACTTTGGACAGTTGTTAAGAACACGTTACGAATTAGAATAAATTTGCAGGCGCTAAAGTCAGTTTGTTAAACATTAAAAAATATTCTCCAACCTTTGAAATTAACAAAATGCTTACAAAATTGCATATTACCTTAACAAAACTTTCGGTAAAATATTTTCCTTTGTTAAAATAATTACAAACCCTGGCTTTCTACAAAAAATTATGTTAAATTTTTACAAAATAAAATTAACAACTACAAACTCATGTTAACAAATTTGATTTTTAAAACAGTGTAAGAAGAGTGGTTCTCATCTATCGCGTTTAGCTCGAAATTAGCTAAGAAAATGTAAACCCACAGGTCACTGTAGAATAAATTTTTGTTAGATAATGGTACTATTTTCGGGAAATTTTGCCCCATAAAGACCGTACTAGAAAAGATGATGGATTCATTCGTAATTCTTGACACGTCTGTTATAACATCGTGACGTTACACGCTCTCTTCAAGGTCATCTAAGCGTTTTGAATCTTGCGTTTTCAAAACTGTAGCGTTTTCAAAAATTGTTTGATGAACGTGGGAAAAAAATTAATAACAAACTCGTGTAAGTACTTAATAATTTAATTTAGAATGCACTTATACCCGTTATATGTTATTATGCCATTTATTTGTTTACATGTATTTTATACAGAGTCGCAACCTATAATCACGGCAACATAAATAATAATTTCTTGTAGTCGATTACGGTTATTAGCATATCGATTATGGTTATTAACCTTACTATCGTAACGAATATTTACATATCGTTGATAAACGCAAACAAATTTTTCCGCATTTTTTTAATGATTTAATAATACACTTTTTCGGTCCTTGCTTATTACGTAATAATATAATTATTATAGCCCTCCCAATATCACCCTGACATTGATGGTGTGAAGTATATTACAAAAGAACCAGGTTTTTTTTAACTTGTCAATTTTAATGTATTTTTTTAAAAGCACGTTTGTAGAAAAACATAATAAATATTCAAAACATCAGTACCTTGGCGTGTCACAACTCCTGAATCAAATATTTAAGTGGTTTTATTTTAGAATATATTTAATTTATCTTAAATTTTTCAATTTCACTACAAACTATAAAATATTAAATAATGTATTTTTCATATTTTATCATAGATTTGAATATTGACAATTTTTAAAGAATTGGTAATGTTTGTACTCACTTTTACCTGTCCGTTCTGTGTCCAATGTTAAAATTCAAAATTCCTGTGAAATATTAGAGTTTAAACGTTAAGTCCTCGTTTTAACTCAAGAGTTGGTAGAAAATTAACCTACAGACCCCGCCCTTTGCACGACAGTCATCTTGAAAACAATGCAAGCGGCGAAGTTGTGGTGAATGCACATATAGTTCCAGTCAAAATTTTAGTACTGTGGTGAGTAGTTATTTTCTTACGTTTTTATATTTCATTGTAATTTATATAAGGGTATATGTGATTTGTTGATAAGTAGCATCCACTAATAAAAAATATCAGTAAAATACTTCATTCCAAATTATAATCTCAAATTTGTATCACATTCAGTACCGTGTCGTCAGTTCCATGTTCAATATTTTTTCGAAAACTTCAATTTAAATTCTGCTTGCGCAGTACTTGTTTATTTATTGTCATTAAAAACTCATATGAATTTGGTGTGGGTCCCATATCTAATAATTAAGATATCGGTATACCCAAAATCCACCAGCCGCCACTGATGTGTGGTATTATTTGATTTTAAGATATTTAATGTATAATTATGCATTAATTATAATTATTAATTAATATTATAATATGCTTAAAGTTGCAATAAATCTTATATTTTCCAATAAATTATGTATTTAATTAGTACCATATGGTAGTGACGAGTATAGTATGGTATACTCGTCACTTTCCTTGCATTCAAATTTAGAAAACACAGATATTTCGGAAACTGTTTGAAAAAGTGACTGGCCCGGTCTGGAACAGTATATTTATTATATTATCTATGTTCTCATAACAAAATACTGTTTAATTTTCTCCGAAAACTATATAAACAAATTGAGGTCAAAAGTTGACCAACATTTGTACACTGAGAAAAAAATGGGACAAATAAACTGTGTAGCTAATACTTTTATTAATAGTGAATATATTGTTTATTACCTCTAAATAGTCGAAATAATAACGATAAATATACTTTAGTAAAACTTTATATTTCGGGAATAAAAATATATTTAGGATAAATAAACTGTACCCTTGTCCCATATTTAAATATTTTTTTATTTGGGAGCAATAAACTTTTTTCTCAGTGTAGAATCACCCTTTTATTTTTTTTATTGATACCTTTTTTTTCGTTTAAAAAATTTTCCTCTGGGATTTAATAGAAAAAGTGATTTTATTACTCAGCATTGTTTACTAATAAAATAGTCGTTTTTACTTTTAAATAGTTATTTACTACTTACTTTAGTAGTTAGAGTTTGACTAATTTAAGATAAGTCACCATCTTCGACTGTTTCTGAGAGTAAAAAGTAACTAATTTCTTTAATCGTTTTTTATACTTGCGTCCAAAAACAAATTATTTTTCCAAATACCCCTTAAAAACAAACAAAGATACAAAAAGCTTTAAAATATTTATAGACAAATAAAACTAATATTTATAAAAGTGACAGTAGAGGACCGGTTTGACATCCGCTTAAGAGACAGACCCGAGTTCAAACCCTGGCTGGGTCAATACTTTTATAATTTGACTATTTCATTTGGTAGAATTTGACTGTATTATTGACTGCTTTTTCGCTAAGACAATTAGTCAAATACGACTTAATTTTAGTTATTTTTGACTTATTCATTTTAAAAGAGTATTGATATCAAATTCAGGTAGCCGCTGCAAGATGAGATTAAGGTAGATGTCGTGGTACAATATTGTCAAAATTTTTTAGATTATACGCACCGTAAAAGTATACGAGCTTGTAGCTAAATGATTCATAATTTTTTCGCAAGACTGTACCCTTGGAGACGTTACCTTTACGTAATACTTTCAAATATTTTCATAAGTTTTAATCCGGCAACGTCGCTTATGCTTAACCAATAGATATATTGGAGACTGAATCAGTCTGTTTAAATTTACTGCGGAAATAATATCTATACTCGCGTACAGCGTTGCCAAGTTGTTTTTATCTGACACTAGTGATGTATACTTTTTAAAAATTGTTGAACTTTTAACGGTTATTTATAAACAATTGGACCGTCAAAAATTTTTAATTATTTTTTTTTAAACTCAGCAAAAATACATTAAAAGACTGTTAGTTTTTTGAAAGCTTCTGACAGTTCGTTTTTTTTATAACTAAGAAACTGGTACAGAACTACAGAAAGCGTATACAATCCATGTTAATTATCCAATTTTTAATTGAATTTATCTCGGGTTATAGACGGTCAATCGACTTCAAATTTTAAGGATAATTGTATTGTCATGTCCTTAATAAGTATACAAAAATTTAAAATTTTCTGATGCTATGCTTACAGCACGAAAACTACCTTAAACTGCGAAATGAAGTAGGTACCACCGCTATTTCTGTGGGTACTAGATAAATGTAACCTACATTTTTTAAATCCTATCCTATGCACGTTGGTTACTTACGTATTATTATTCAGTCATGCCGCAGTCCTGCAGTTAGTAGATGAGTTAACACTTTTCCAAATTGACAATGGAGATTAGAATAAAAATGTTCACTACTCTCTAAAAATGAATTGGTCAAAAATGACTAATTTAATAGTTAGTAGTGGCTGCTTTTTCACTTGTACCATGGTTAAACATAGAATCCCATGATATCCCAAAATTTTAAAGCCAATTGTTATTTAAAATTATCCCCTAAATCCGAAAATACCGTCAAAAATTATGAAAGTGGAGCAGTTTTTGAGATATAGTCCATTCCACATTAAATGGAAAATTGACTATATCTCAAAAACTGTTCTACATTTTTAACTTTTGAAGACATTTTCGGATTCAGGGGACAATTTTACATAAGAATTGGCTGTTAAATTTTGGGATACCATCGTAGTCCATGGTTAACCATGGTACAAGTGAAAAAGCAGCAACTAATAACTATTAAATTAGTCATTTTGACTAATTCATTTTTAGAGAGTAGAATGCTCTAAAAATGAATTACTCAAAAATGAAAATGAAATTTTTATAAGCAGCCACTAATAATTCTCGTCAACAGCAATTTGTATACCGAACACTTAACAGTCAATTCCTAAAAAACAGCACAAAAAAACCCTTAAAAATTTTTGTATTTAAATTTTTAAACTATAATAAAAATATTCAAAAAAATAAAAATTTGTAAAAAAAAATTAAGGGAAAAAATATTGTTTTTTTAGGAAGAATCCCAAGAAAAGATTTTTTAATTTATTTTGTAAAATAAGGCTTTTCTTTGATTTCTGGCACATTGCTTGCCGTTGTTCAAGGCCACGTCAAAGGACCTTTTAAACTCTACAGCCCCAGGAGTAGGAAATCTCTCGTGTTCATGTAAAATCTCTAGATAAAATACCTTTATACGTGTTATATGAGACAAATAGAATTACGATAAGGCTATCAAGAATTATGCATTATTAAACATTAAGAACTTATCGTAAAATTGTTTGTGATTGGTAACTTTATATGTTATAAAGAACTTCTAAAATAAAAAAATAAATCAATATTAAAATTCAATGCAATAATTACAATTATCTTGCTCACTTTAGGCACTATAGATCTTTAAACCCAATAAATCCTGCAACTTCATGCAAAGGATTAAAAATATGTAACAATGAAGAAAAAATAAGGACATACTATAGAACTACCAATGTAAATTTATATTACTTCAAAATTAACGAGGGAATAACAATCTTCGAAAAGTATGAAATTGTATAATAATTGAATTATTTACCAAAAAACTTGAAAACATAACCTTAATTACTTACTTAAAATTTAAAACCGTTTAAAACTTAACACACGTTTAGTTAGTGCACTGATGATTATATTTTTTGTAGAGAAGGTCTTGAAATATTAATTTACTTTTTACCTCCTATAACTCGCTATTGCGCATAGTAAACTGATTCTTTTTCCATGCTGATCAATTATTTGACAAGTTTCTTTCAATCTGCATTACAAACGCTTTGCCAATTTTCAAGTAAATAATAATTCTACTCATGCAGTTTTTGTGCTATCGCGTTGTGAAATGATTGGCATAAAATATGTCATTTTTTGGCCAAACAATGAAAATACAATTTATATGTCCAAGTAAACCCCAATAAATGTAAAATATCGTACACTAAACTTGGTTGGGAAAAAGTTGACTAATTTCTTTTATACACTGAAAGAAATATATGTTTGTTTTAGCAATGTATGTGGTAGTCTATATATGAAACATAAAATATATTTACCTTAACCATTTTTATATTTAGTTTTAACATATTATGTTAAAACTAAATATAATATATGTTTGTTTTAGCAATGTATGTGGTAGTCCATATATGAACCACATACATTTGCTAAAACAAACATATATTTCTTTCAGTGTATAAATATCGTTTTATCACTTTTTTCAGCCGAGGTTTAGGAAGGTGTCTCCACGATCAACCGGAGGATCAGGAGGACTACGAGTACGCAGAGCTTCCTCCGGGTGCGGTTTACAACTCCGAACACCAGTGTCGCTTGCAACACGGTCCCGAAGCAACCGTTTGCTCGTCAGAGGACGAAATCTGCACCAGGCTCTGGTGCATGGTCAACGATACTTGTCGTTCCCTTATGATACCCGCAGCGCCCGGCACGCAATGCGGAAAACACAAGGTGAGTTTGATTCCCACTGGCACAAAAACCTTACAAAATATTGCTGCAATGTTCGCAATGTTTTTCGCTACTTGCATTAACATGAGTTTGCAATGTTTTTCTACCATAGTATGAGTTGTAAAATATTTATAATTAAGGCTTTTAGCAACATTGTAGGAATCTTGGCTTCAGTAACATTCAGTTACATTACAATTCAAACTTTTTAGTACCTAACATTGTAACTTGAAAAAGGAGAACTTTGGTGGTATGTTAAACAAATATTAGAAATATTTTCCAAAACCAAATCAAAACACAAAGTGCTTAAAGTACTTTTCGTCAACGATGTTGGCATCTTCAGTCTAACTAAATATAACGGCTAAATCTTTCATATTTATACTAATTATTAGCTAAGGTTGACTGAACTGTAAACGGACACATTTTACTAAACCGTGGACCAGAACCTCTCAGTAAACACGTAAAAAGAAACTAACAAACCAATGTATACAAAGTAGAGTTGGAAACAGTTCTGTTATCGCCATTTTCTTATAGATGTATAACCTTTCGTAGCTATCTAGCAGACTTGGTTTCCTAACTTCCTTGATAAGTTTAAGGTTGTCAAATTCTATTCTATGGCCATCATCAAGTATGTGTTGGGCAACACTCGATTTCTCTGTCCTACCAAATCTAGCATCGGCCAAGAGCTCTTTAAACCTTACTTGGATGAATCGTTTAGTTTGTCCAATATATTTCTTGTCACAATCTTGACAGTTTATTTCGTAGATCCCCGACTTTTCAATTTTAGAAATCTTATCTTTGGGGTTGCCTAAAAGGGTCTGAAGTGTGTTACTGAAAAAAATAAGCTGTTGAAACAACAACAAAAATATTAATTCAACTCTTTATGCCCTTTAAATACAAGCAATGGTTTTTGCACGTTTACTTAACCATCTAAAAATGTCAAATTGTATTGTTTAATTGAACAACAAATAACAGTCCAATGAACAAAATGAGAATATTTGTTATAATCTGCTAATTTGGTTAATTTAACATTCTTAGGGTAACATTTTTAGCATATTCACTTAACACCAATAAAATGTTAAAACTGTTGGGTTAACATTCTGAAAATTTAAAAGTAAAATTCTATATAAAGAGAAAGAATTGAACCCTCACCTCGCCAGAGCTTTTGTTTTGAGTGCGTTCCACCTACTATAAATACCGACAGACAGCTGTTTCGACCTATATTGGGGGTCTTATCAGTGTCGGGCAATTTGGTGTAGCGGAAGTTCCACTGTGGAACACACCCAAAACAAACGGCTACCTGAGCTTATAAACCTTATATCGTAAGCCAACTGTGGCGAGATGTAAGAACACGTGATCAACACCGTCTAATGACGTGGCGTGGGTGTTCGAAGCGCCCTTCACGGCAATTTTATGAATGCAAATTTAACATTTTAAAGTAACATTTGATTCAACCAATTCCAGCTATCAAATCAAAATAGGATAAACATTTTAATTCAAAAAATTAGTTTATGTTAAATCAATATTTTAACTGTCAATTGAACAAATAAACTTTGACAAACTCTGACTATTGCTTTGACACCAAAATATAGATTAATCCAATAGGTTTTTTGATGAAACAACATTTTCAAAAATGACATTCAGGTAAACGTTAACTCAACTACATTATTTTTTTTGGTGTGCTTGAACTAAAAGCAATTTTGCCCAGTTTTCAAAAAATTCCTTCCAGACCTTGAGTGTACTGGGGTTTGAAAGAAATGGTAATAAACTTGACTTTTGTGGGCTATGTTTGTAAAGTCGTTAACCTGGAAAGGCGAGACTTAAATTTAATTTTATTTACTAACTTATTTAGTAGGGTGGGTTTAAAACCATTTTCTCTAGCACAGTATTTTATAAAACTGAGTTCTTCTTGTATCTACTGTTACTAAGTGGAAAGTTTACTAACCTAAGAACAAAAAAGTTAAAACCAGCTTGCGTATGTTTTGTGCAGTGGTTCGATTGTTATAACAATCGAACCACTGCACAAAACATAAATCTAATCACTAGGGTATCTTAACATGGTAGCTGGTAGGCTATTTTTTCCCAATTTAAAGGTGAATTTAATAGAGTGAATAAAACTATTTAATTTGGAAACAAAAACATCTAGCTGCAAGCGTTTTGATCGAAAATAGCAAAGATATCGTCTATGTATCTTAATCTCATTGGGAAAAGTAAATCCTCTAGATAAGTCAATGTATGTGGTACTGGGACACTTGGGAAAAGAGAACATAAAATGAAACTAATAACTTACTTTTGACTTTCTCCATAAACTCCATTGAGTTTTTAACTGAAAAACTAGGTTGCTTAACAGCGAGGATATTAAATTTATTTGTTAACCATTTATCTAATTTGTAAGTCGGTAAACAAGTGGCCGAAACTATTGGCCTCATAGACTTGTCAGGCTTATCTTGGGTAAAGAATAGAGGGAGTAACACGGTTGCTGCACTTTGTTGACAAATCCGATATAATAATATACTTGGCAAATGGTTTTAAATAAGGTTCATTACTAATAAAGTGATCCAACCTTTTATAATAATCATTTTTGTCTAACACAACGACTGCTTTTACCACAATGTAACATGATATTTGTTTATCTGGATTTTATTACACAAATCGTAGTAGGCCATGCCCCTGATTCCATAACATACATTTGTTTTTTCAAACTGTCAAATTTTCAACGACAGATCGTGTCGTCATTAGGGGACATCCATTAATTATCTGAGGCATTTTTCTGATAATTTAGACCCCTCCCTCCCCCTTGGTGAGATTTGGTGAGATGTTGTAGACCTCCCCACTATCCCTCACGTAAGATTTTGGCCATTAAACTTTCTTTATGGACAACATGTAAAAAAAAAATGAATATTTTTTTTAACAAAAATTGGATTATAATACATATTTTTTAAACTCAAAAGTTAACGTTAGATTTTAAATGAAAGGTTTCCTTGGTAACCACAAAAGAGAAAATTATACTGAACTTGTCAAAGTTTTATTAGGAAGTTTTAAAGAAATGGGATGCCGCATGTCGTTGAAAGTACCTACACTATTTGCATTCGCATCTTGACTTTTTCCTTGAAAATCTGGGAGATGCCAGCGAAGAACATGAAGAAAGATTTCATCAAGATATTCGGGCAATGCAAAAGTGATAACAAGGAAGGTGGGATGCGACAATGATGGGTGACTCTGTTTGAAATCAACTTCGGGAAGAAAATGCATCATATAAAAGAAAAAGTATTAAAATTCATCTTTGAGCCATGATTTAAAATCTATGTTAAGAAAATATTTTTCTAGATTGTATGTTTTGTTAAAATAATAATAAGTTGAATTTCTTGCCATTTCTTGTCAATTTTTTTTTTGTTTTTGATAAAACTGGGTTTGATTATATTATATAAATACCCCTTAAAAAATAAAAACTTCTCATTACATTTTTTAAATTAAGTTAGAATAGTTTTTTGGCACACGAATATTGATAATTTAACAAAAAAATCCAATATTGGATTTTTTATAAACAAAACAAAAATCAAATTTTGTTACATAGTGTTACAAAGAAGCAGTATTTCGATTTCAGACTCTTGAAAACAGAATCGCTAGAGGTAGGGATTCAAATGTGACTTATTTGGTTTTGTTGAATCTTCTCTAACAAAACCTTTTGATGCTTCATTACACAGTTGGAAGAAGTGTTTAACATGTGCAACAACAGCCTCCAAACCCAATATCGAAGAAGGAAGTGCAAACTTAGGACCTTATTGAGCAAATCTAGCTCCGCTTTGCCAAATGTTTAAGATAAAAGATTCTCAACAATGCTAACGTTCTTCTTAGGAACTCTTAAAAAATTACTAACCTAATTAATTTATTATGGTGAGTTGCCACCTTTTTCCTAAATTTGACATCTATAGCTAAAAACATGTTCCTTTGAAAATCGCCCATTGTTTAAATCCTACGTTGTCTAGTGTTGTAGTTCACATTGCCGTGTCCGTTCACTGTCAATCTTACCTTATAATTAGTATAAATATGTTGGCAAAAAGTACTTTAAGCACTTTGTGTTTTGTTTTGGTGTTGGGGAATATTTCAAATATTTGAGTAACATTGTGTTAAAAAGCAAAAGTAGAAACCACGAATATATGAACGTGACTCATCCGACACATTCGTACGAAGCAATCTATCGAAGGTCACGGTCCAGTGCAGTGCTGTTTGTAAAAAATTAAATTTTAATAATTAACATCTACGATAATTAAATAAAATGTAATTTTCTTAGAAACTAATTAATAAATAAACTTTTCTTTTAACTTTAATGAAATATTCTATCATCTGATGACAGAATGTACACTCGTGGCGACATCTCTGTTTTTAATATCTAACAAATTTTAGACCGATCCAACCTCACTTTCTTCCAATTAAATTCTTTGTCTATGGTATTTTTTGGAAACGTAGAAAAAGTACAGTCTGAAACACGTTTGGAATTGCATATTCCCCTCTCGTGAAACCGTCAAACTTGTTACAGAATATACTATTCTTTTAACTGTAAACGCAAATATTTCAGAATTGGTGACAAAAAACAAAAATGTTTACGCAGGTCAGGTACAAAGTGAAAGATATTTAAATTGTGTGGATATAAAAACAACTTAAGTTGTTTTTATATCCGCAATTGCGTTAGTTTCACGAAATTTATTAAATATTGACAATTGTTTCGCTACACAGTAGCTTCTTCAGAATGTATTAAACCAATACTAGTACAAAATTTATATAATAAAAATATTTTTGTATTCTAGCCTAGAATTTCTAGGTAAGGATTTTTATACGACATCTACCTGTGTTACATAATATAAACCACTGCCACTACAACGTTTAAAACGATTATTAATCCGTAAACACACACCGTTTATTTAAAGTCCAAAAAACGTACAATAACAATTGCAATAAAGTCCAATAAACATGCAATAACAATTGCAATAAAAACCACTAGCACTACAACGTTTAAAACGATTATTAATCCGTATACTTTATTGAATAGCCTGGTATGTAACTTCGAATACAAATGTGATGTGTAATTTACTGTGATATATAAGCAGGGCCGAGCCGTGCCGGGGGTGCAAGGGGTGCATGGCACCCGGGCGGCACTAACACAGGGCGGCAAAATATCATCAAAAAAATTGTATCATATTATCAAGAATAAAAAAGCCACCTTGCAATATGCAAAAAACTTTCTAAAAATCACTTGCGTTTTATTGATGTCGGCGTTTCAAGGAATCATCGTTTTTATTCTACACATAAAAACATTGCCAAAATTGTGCTGTCAGGCGGCAATGATGAAAAAGACATAACCGAACGCGCGATAGCCACAAAAAATGATGATGACAATTTTCTTAAAGCCCGATTTATAGATTGCCGCCCGCCCGCTTCGCTTTCCGTCCGTCCGCTTCGAGTTCGTCAAGTTTCATGTTTTACGGAAGCGGGCTTACGGGAAACCAATCAAATCGCGCGCTGCGTATCACGTGATATTTTTTACAAGCTGAACTGTTAAGTTAAAGCATAATTTCTTCCGATTTGACGACTGCGTATTTCAGCAATTTTTACTTTCTTTTGTCTTTTAATGCGTTTAAGTTAAAAACTAGTTAATGATTTAAATTTATTTGTAGCTTTAAGAATATTTTTGACGATGCCAGTTACTATTGCCCATGGAGAGCGGTCATTTTCAAAATTAAAACTAATTAAGACCTATTTAAGATCCAATAAGAGTCAATTCAGGCAACAAACAACTTGGATGTAGGCGACTTGATTAGGGAATTTGCTATTAAAAAAGCAAGAAAAGTAGATTTTAGTTTTTTAGTTTAGTTTAATTTTTTTGTTTTTTTTCCTGAATGTATTTTTATTTTATTCTTTTTTGTATTTGTTAATAAATACTTTGTTCTTTTACTATAAAATTTGTTATATGTTTATTGAAAATGATAAATTATGAACTCCTTCCCTACCGACAACCTAATTTTTTACATTAATGGGGGCGGCAAATTTAATTCTTGCACCCGGGCGGCAGATACCCTAGGCTCGGCCCTGTATATAAGGTAATGTATTGTGATATTGAGATATTAAGATATATAATGTAATGTTTTTGTTATGTATATACAACTATTTGTCAAATTATTTAGAGGTGTCTCTCTGTAAACATGTAAAGTTTTTGGAGACGAATAAACTGATTTTATTATTATTATTAAACACACAGCAGAAACACGATATGCAAAAACAAAGATCATATGACATATAAAAACAAATGGCCGACGGTAAAGTTGGTTGCCTTACTATGTAATAAAATAAAATAAATGCCTAAAACACGAACTCTACTGAATTAAAAAAAAATAAGTATCAAGCTAGGACACGCGTCATATGTCCATCTTTGTCCAACACCTAGGCAGTTTTACATCACAGATGGCGCATTTTAGACCGGATGTACAAGACAAGTAAAACATTACTGCTAGCATGTCTGAGATATGTTCGGCACCCGATGAGTCATGTTCCTTTGAAAATCGCCCATTGTTTAAATCCTACGTTGTCTAGTGTTGTAGTTCACATTGCCGTGTCCGTTCACTGTCAATCTTACCTTATAATTAGTATAAATATGTTGGCAAAAAGTACTTTGTGTTTTGTTTTGGTGTTGGGGAATATTTAAAAAAATTGAGTAACATTGTGTTAAAAAGATTACAAAGCTGCAGGAAGGGATATTTGTAACAATACATCTAAGAAATGTAATGTGATGTTCAATAACGTTGTATTGCATTTCAGTGGTGTCAAGACACGAAATGCGTCCCCATGATGGACCCGCCGGTCCCCATCGACGGAGGCTGGGGCGAATGGTCGTCTTGGAGCGAATGCTCGCGGACGTGCGGCGCAGGCGTGAGCGTGATGAAGCGCGATTGCGATCACCCGAGGCCCGCGGCCGGCGGTAAGTTCTGCGTGGGAGAGCGGCGCAGATACGTGATTTGCAACCCGGAACCGTGCCCGGAGGACGAACCGACCTTCCGGGCGACGCAATGCAGTGCGTACAATAATGATACCCACGAGTGGCTGCCATACTTTGATAGAGGTATGTTTTCGTTTTATATTGTACATACGTTTTAATAATAATAATTGTATTTCCAAAAAGCCATTTACATATATAGGATATTGTCAATGGTATAAAAAATATATGAATACAACTATTATTATAAATAAATCACAAAACTAGAACAATTGATCAGTACTAACATTCACAATTAATATCTATGGCACGGTTCACCGAACACCGTTTTTAACGAAAAAAATAGAACAACATGAAACATTAAAAAAAAATACTTACCAACTAAGTATTCAAAAAAAGTAAAATGAAAATCTTCCATGTAGATCTGTCAAAAATTTTGTCAAAAAACTGTTTTTTTTAATACTTTCAGTTTTTTGGGTTGCTATATTTAAAATATGAATTATAATTTATTTCTTTAGTAGGTAATAAAAAATGCATAAAAAAGAAACTTTTTCTTTCTTAGTTTTTTTTTATAATTTTGTCGATAATATATCATTTTTTTATTGAAATAGGTTTGTATAGTATAGACCACTGATATTTTTCCTCGCATAAAAACACTATTTCTTTTTGTTAAAAGTAGCCGCCAACTATAAGTGAGATTCGTATAAAAACTAATCCTCTTTTGCCTATATATACCGACTATTGAACATGCCTGGGTTTACAATTTGTTGCTTCGATTTTTATCTTGCCGCTGAATACAAAATATTATTTTTAATTCTGTGGTTAAAACTTGTAAATTGCGCCCGGATTTGCTTCGAGTTTTTATCGATGTTTTTTACATTTTTGTTCGAGTTCAAATATTCAAAATGTCCCAGTTTTGTTCTTTATTCCACCACCAGAACTTCACCTTATGCTGGGCATTGTACAAAAACTTTTTGATTCCCTAAACAGCAAATATCCAGAATTTGGGAGGCATGGGTAAAAATTGCTGGAATCTGCTTTGACCATTATGGCAAATTTAATGGCAATAATGCACGAAAACTAATAAAGTCGATTGTCATAAGCTTTGCTTTGTTTGGATGTTTTCTACGTACTGACTTATAATTCCTATTTTAGCCAATGAATATACACCCGTATTTGAGGCGTTCAATTAAGTAGTTTCTGGCTGCTTTGGCCAAAACTTAGCAGATGAATATAAAGACTACATAAAAGAATTTAAAATACAATCATCAAAAGCTGTTACCAAAGATCCATGCTCTCATTTATAATGTTCCTTAATTTATTGAAGAAACGCAAAGAGCCCTTGGTTTCTTCTCAGAGCAAGCATCGGAGCAAGTTCATCATTCATTCAATATATTTTCCAGGAATTTAAATTTATCCAGAAATAACTTAGAAAAATACAATATGAACTTGCTTCGATGTCTTTGTGCATATGTACAATAGTCAACATATGTAGGCTTAGATTTATTTTGTTGTTTTTTACATTTTTGTTAAAGTTTATCAATTTTTAAGTTTATAATTTTGAATAATGCCTTCAGAAGAATAAAGTTTGAGTTTCCTACTATCGTATGAGTTTTTCAAATTAAAAATATTCTACAAATATTAACTTTGAGACAGTTAAAATATTATCAATATACGATACTACACATAAATTACGAAGAATTGATCGCTATTTCCCAAGATCTACATAGAAGATTTTCATTTTACTTTTTTTTGAATACATAGTTGGTAAGTATTTTTTTTTTTAAATGTTTCAAAGTTGTTCTATTTTTTTCGTTAAAAACGGTGTTCGGTGAACCGTGATGGCTAAAAAATTCCTCTGGAGTTGTTTTTCAAGCAATATTTTTTTACATTTTTTTTAAATGAATAAATTGTTTTACTTTTTTTAATTTTAAGTGGAACATGATTATATAATTTAATTGGCATCATTATAGGGCTCTGGGCTGTAAGACACAGGCCATGTTTTGTGACTAAAATTTCATTGATATGTCTTAAATTGTAGGAAATGTTTTTATCAGTGAACCTTATAAATTTACTTAAGTTCATATACTAGACTGGACAAAATGTACAAGGACACTACTGTTAATATTCCAACCTCGTTAAATAATTCTCTACATGAGTGATATTTGTTTTTAAACATTATTGTTCTTAATAACCCCAGCAAACAATGCCATAACTCAGTAGAGAATTAATGTGGGCACAATAAAAACTTTTTATTGTTTGTATTGGGATGATATAATACAAAACATTTTGATGAGAGGTTTTTATGTTTTCAATGTGAACATGCCACCTAGGTAAGCAGTCAACATGAAATCTCAATGATTTAACATTTTTGTTTTCCTTGACCAACTCATTATCCAGGGAAATCGAAAAAGGTGGATCATTGACAGTTGGACAGAACCTTAGAATTTCAGTTTTAAATTTATTTAAAAATAATTTGTTGACATTACAAAATGTTTTCATACAATCAGTACATTACCTTACATTTTTTAAAGATCTACACTGGATCTAGCGCCAAATAATATATGAGGAATAAAATTGGTCCTAAAGTACTACCTTGAGGAACTCCCATTGAAACATTTCTCAACTTAGAACAGTGGCTCTTGCCTTTTATGTTCAAGACAACCTCCTGTGATCTGCCATTTAGATAACTTGACAACCAATTAAGTGGTGTGCCCCTTATACCCAATGCATACATTTTTTGAATTAACAATGATTAACCATGTCAAAGGCACCAGTTAAATTAAAATAAATACAAGCAACTTTATAACCTTTTTCTAAATTGAGTAATTAAAAGTTATATTTAGATAACAACGCATCTTGCGTACATTTTTATCTGAAACCAAACTGCTTATAAGTAATTAAGTTATTTTTTTCCAAGTATGAGTACAGTTGATTTTGTAATGCCATTTCAAATATCTTGGAAAACCCAGTCAACAATGATATGGCTCTATAATTTTTTTTATGAAGTGGTTTTAAAACCGTTTTTTTAAACACGTTTAAGTATAGATGGAAATCTCCCTTCGCTAAAAGATAAATTTATCAAATTAGACAAAATTTCACTGATATGAGGCCCAATTTGACATAAGAGTGAATACGGGATTTCATCAAAACCTCCTTAAAGTAGGTTCAGATCCAGATGAAGAATGTGGATAACATACTCCATACATAACCTTAAATGCCTTAAATGCCAAGTTTTAGATTTAATTTAAAATATAGAATGATAGGTATATACCCTCTATTTTCATCAAGACCACAAGAAGATTTGGTATATTTAGAAAACAACCGATTAAAAATATAAAATTTTAAAGTTCCATACATTAAAATAGGAATGTTTCTGTAAAAGTATTTATTTAATTATCCAGATCTAATACAGGGTGTCACCTACTAAATTGTCATCCTTTGGGGGAATGATAGTACACGCCAAAACAAGAAAGTTTTTCCTCTATCATTTTTGCATATTACTGCATTTTTTACTATGTCACTGACCTATTTTATATATCATAAACCAGTGGCGGCCCAAAATATCTACTTATAAAAAAATTTATAATTTTTTTGTAAAAAAAATGACACTAACGCAAAAATTATCGAAGAAAAACTTTCTTACCATCCCCTTAAAGGATGACAATTTATTTGATGACACCCTGTATTTAATTTATTAAATTATTACAGATCAGCCTTGTACGCTTTACTGTACTGATATAAATGAAACAATAATAGTTCCAATAAAAGGATATGCTGCTGATGGAACGTCTTGTAATGTTATAACAAGAGATGTTTGTGTTGAAGGAATTTGTAAGGTAATTTACATTTTATTTAAATTAATTAATAATTTTAAATTTAAATTTCCAAATGAAAGTTTTCTAAAAGTTTAAAAACAACTTTTGTAATTGGATTGAAATTGAATTGCATTGAAATCATCAAAAATTCCTTTACAGAATGTTGGTTGTGACTGGGTGGTGGACTCGAAGGCTAAAGAAGACGAGTGCGGGATATGTCAGGGTGATGGCACGAAATGCGACAAAAAAGAGGGAGTCTACTATAAGCAAAGTCTTTTCGAAGGATACAAAGAGGTCGTGGTAATCCCGCCGGGTGCTAGAAACATTAAAATCGAGGAAAAGAATCCCACCCGCAACTACATTAGTATTGGTGCTGCCTACGGGAAAAAGTTTTATTTGAATGGTAAAAGGTAATTTTATTGCTAGTTACTAGAATTAGAAGAACTATGTTGTTTTTTTTTAATTTGGTAAATTTAAATTTGCATTTATACAAAAAGTAAAATAATTTATAAATCATTGAAAATACTTTTGATATCATTAATCAAAGTTATGAAACGTATTGGCCCCAAAACAGAGCCCTGGGGCACCTTTACTCAAACAATAGTCTTTTGTAGATTGCAAATCGAAAATCAGTTTAATAATAAAAGTAAAAGATTATCAATCCACCTTACTTTTTGGAATATAATAATAATAATAATAATAATAGGTATTTATTGCCAACAGTACATACCATAAATGGACATTCATATAATAGTGTTTACTTACAAATACTAGCTTATAAATAAATAATACAAATAAGTTAAAAACAATATATAAATAATTAAGAATATAAATAGTTAACAATTTTTACAATTAACAATATAAAACACTAGGATAAACAATTTTTTATAAAGCTTAAGGAAGAAAAATTTATATCACAGAAAGTAGTAATACAATTGAATACATTGCACATAACATATAAAGAAGATTTTTTAAGTGTGTTTGTACGAGCAAAGGGACATCTAAACGTTATACATTGTCGGCTATTACAACGAGGAATATTAAAGCACAATTGACCCAAAAAATCCATGCAATCGATATGATCATGAAGAATTTTATACAGAAAAGTTATTGAAATAATTTTTCTTCTCAATTCCAAAGACAATAAATTAAAAGTCTCTAACAGAACTAAATGATCAGAACTCTGTGGTGGATAAAAATGGAATATTGTAAAATTAAGAATTTTTAGGAATTTACGCTGTACATTCTCAAGGTTTGTTATGTGATAGGCATATATTGGAGACCAAACCACGCTGGCATACTCAAGTTTGCTGCGGACTAACGAATAATATAGTAATTTAACGGACTGAGAAGAAAAACCTTTGGTATTTCTAAAAATAAATCCAAGGGTCATTGTTGCAGATTTTATATTTATGTCAATGTGAGTTACAAAGCTTAACTGTTGATCAAAAATATCACCCAAGTCTTTCATTACAGAAACTGTATCCAAGGGAATATCATTAATGCTATATTTAAAAATAAATGGATTTCGTTTTCTGGTATAGCGCATAATCTTACATTTAGATTCAACTTTAAACGATTACTAAGACACCACTGGTTTAAAGTATTTAAATCATTTTGAAGTTCAAAGCAGTCATTTAAGTTTTGTATACCTTTATAAATTTTTAAATCATCCGCATATATGCTGAGCAGTCAAGGTTTTTGGACAACTTTGGTGATATTTTAAACAAAAATTAAAATTATTCCTCAACAAAACACAAAGTGCTTAAAGTACTTTTCGCCAACGATGTTGGCATCTTCAGAAGCGAAGTGAACCTAAATCTAAATGCTAAATCTACCATATTTTTACTAATTATAAGCTAAGGTTGACTAAACCGTGAACGGACACAGTTTACTAAACCGTGGACCGTAATCACTTCAGTAAACACGTACAGATAAACTAACAAACTAATTTATACAAACTAGAGTTGGTTACCGGTCTTTCTTATTTTTATGGATGTATAAACTTTCATCAACTATCTAGCAGACTTGGTTTCCTAACTTCCTTAATAAGTTTAAGCTGGTCAAATCCTATTAATTGGTCATCATCAAGTATATATTGGGAAATACTCCAAGTGCTCTTTGGATCTTACTTGGATGGATCGTTTAGTTTGTCCAACATATTTCATGTCACAATCTGGACAGTTTATTTCGTAGATCCCTGACTTTTCAATTTTAGGAATATTATCTTTGGGGTGCCTAAAAGGGTCTAAAGTTCAAGCAGTAACACACTTGACATTCGAGGTAGACGGTCTAGGCGTCTGGGTAGGTGGTGGGCTGATGGTCATCTTGTGTTGAGTCATCTTGCGATGAGGCATCTCGCGGTAAGGCATCTCTTGTTGAGGGATCTCGCGTTGAGGAGGAATAAAGCCGTTAAACCTTAGATCCGTTGAACGATAGAACTGTTGGCCTCCAGTACTGTCATACTGCCTCATGAGGCAGATCTTAGTGCTGGACATCAGTGTGGACCGTGTTGTGCACCGCAAGCTTTGGTTTCCGTAATGTTGCTTGTGTTGGTAAATAGAATGTACAGTTACTTACGTAGATTGTCCATTTTGTCATGCAAAAGCCTTTTATATGGTTGATAAGGGTGTTTTTGCTTTCATTATGCGCCAACGTTCTCATAGGAAATAAAATTCACGAATATTCACGATCACGACGCGTCGAGGTTATAACTTTAGCGACTAGGTATAGCGAATTGATCTATTAGGTATATAAAAACTTACCATTATTATATACAGTGTATATTATACACATTTATACACAAACTATCTACGAACTTAGCGTGTAGTTAGCCGGAGTCGATGTATTCAAGACGGAGAATTAGGATGTTGTGATCTATGAGAGCTCCCAAATCTTCTACCGTTGGTCGGGGTAGGGAGTAGGTTTAAAAGATTTAGAACGAGGCAAAAGTACAAAAAATAATAAAGTCTATTATAATTTTAGATTTAATTCATAAACACGAATACCTATATTTATTTTGTAAAGGTTAAGGAGAGGTAAAGAAGTAATAAACCCAGGGATGTTTGCAAATGCTTTTTGCTGTGTTGTAAGAAACGACTCCGGGTACTAAAATATTTACAATATACGAGGTGTGTTCAAAAATATCGGGGATTTTCGTTTTTTGAAACAAATATTTATTTATTCGTCTACATTAATGTTGTCGCCTTCAAAATAGTCCCCATTGGATTTTATGCACATGTGCCAGCTCTTCTTCCACAACTCGAAACACTTCTAAAACTCGATCTTTGGGATAGCCTTTAGTTCTTTCAGCGATGCGCTTTTAATGTCATCTATGTTTGCAAAACGACGGCCCTTTAAGCAGTGGCGTAGCGTGGACTAATATAGACGTGGGCGAAGTCGCATCAGCGAGGCCCCTTTTCTTTCAGCAAATAAAATTTCTTTAAGATTTTAAGAATATGGATCAAGGGGTTTTTGGGGATACTGAATCTATATAGGATTAAAAAATGTATCTAAAATAAGCCCTAATATCCTTTTGCCGAAAAATCGACCCCCTAAAACCGTACGCCAATGATAAATAAAAAAACTTACTATGGCAAATATTTCATTTCTTCAGCATACAATCACCACCCAAATTTAAAGAAAATCGAATTATTAATAACAGATTGGATTTATGAAAAGCGGGACAAATTATTAAACCAAACAAATGTGGCCCTTTTATTCGGCAAATGATGCACACACTATTCGATTAACTGTTTAATTCTACTTTACTTACATAACTAAACTTAAATAATAATTAAGGAACAATCATAAATGTTCTAAAACACGTACAGCAAATTAAATGACAGTTATTTAAATCGCGAAAGGTGATATCTACTAGGGTTGTTGATATTATCGATAATTTATCGATAGTATCGATGTTAGACAATCGTACAGCACTATCGAAAGTATCGATAGTTGCCACTGCGACTATCGATATGTCACGGTTATGTTTTGTTCGTCCCTTGCAGCACACCGTTACCGAGCAAAGCAAACACTTCTTATCCTTTTTCAGGCCATACTTTTAAAACAGGCAGAAAATACACTCGTTGTGCACGACTGCATAAAAAAACATCGCTATCCTTCCATTTCTATGAAACGGCCATAAATCTCAGAAGAAAATAACATAACATAACATAAGAATAGGTATATAAAAGACTATCGATAAACTATCGATAGTTTCGATATTTGAAACTATCAACATCGAAACTATCGATATTGATTTTTTCCCACTATCGCGAACACTAATATCTACATTACCTACAAGTTGTAGGCCACAACTTGGTATTTGTTTAGAGTCCTAATAGGTGGCGTATTAAAGTGAAATCCATTGTAATAACTATTTCTGTGATTGTAATCTATTAAAATTGATTAATTATTAGGCTTTGTTATCTATGATTAATTATTAGTATATAAGGATCTTAAATTTACATATTTTTTTAGGTTTTTATTTACTTAATTTAAAAATAAACGGGGATTTGAAGTCTGATGGCATCGCATTTAAAGAGGCCTCGCGAGGCCCCTTTAAGTGCGAGGCCGTGGGCGAGGGCCCACTTCGCCTACGCCTAGCTACGCCACTGCCTTTAAGGTTCTCTTTATTTTTGTAAATAGGAAAAAGTCAGACAGAGGCATGTCTGGCGAATATGGAGGCTGGGGCATCATTACAGTATTGTTTTTGGCCAAAAATTTTGTTCAAAATTTAACAATTTTAGAACAAATTTTGTTGCCACGCGTTCCATACCCAAAACATTCGAAAAAATTTCATCTATATCGATATACCAACATCAACAGCGACTTCTCTGATGGTTTATAAACATTTCTTTCACTTTTTCCATGTTTTTATCGGTTGTTAATGTGCTTGTGCTTCAACGTCTTCACGACCATCTTGGAAACTCTTATACCAATTGTAAACTCTTGTTTTACTTATAGCAGACTCACTATAGGCCTTTGTTAACATTTCACAGAATTTATTTCATTTTTTAAGCAAAATTGGATACAAATTCTTTGATCCATTTCTTTTAACGAACGAAAAATCGCCGAGCTCATAAAACACCTTAGCGGCTGCAACAGACAAAGTAAACAATGACAACAGCTAAAGTTTTTATCATACTTCGGGGGCATGTATACCAACATAATAAAGAAAATTTTATGACAACTGGACCCTCCGAACCCGCGAAATTTAACAATTCCCGTTATTTTCTGAACACACCTCGTAATTAGTAGAGTAAAACATATTTGGTTATTGTTTCCACATTTCTTCTGTTGAGCCAAATTTGAAGTGCTTGATATTCTTTTTCGTAGCGATCCTTGGTCTTTTCTGGCAATATCTTAAGAACTTAATGCGGCCGCTTCAGCACTAATATTTTCTTTG